TATGAAATGTCCTTACGTCGATACCGAATTTAAAATGCAGTGAGTTTCTACATGGAGGCTGCAATTTTCGATTAAGCGACGGACTCATTTTGTTAAGCTCGATTCCATAGATCTTGGTGATTCTTTTCTTTAATAATCTTGTCGGTGATATAATTTCATTTTATTGATTGACTTATAACGTTTCAAAATCTTTCCTGAATTGCCTTTCAGTTGAAATGTAGAACTTATAATGAAGAACTTATTCATATTGAAGTTTCAAGGTGGTTCCCCCGGCGGCGGATTGGCCACCGCTGCCGTGGCGGTCACGGCGACAAGTATACATGACTACTTTTTACTTTCTCGCAAACGGACAATGCTTTATAAATCAAATTGGTGTTTCGTATTCTATATAGTTACGAAGCCTTTCATCCGAAATTCACGGGATGAGCAGGTGTTTTATTAAACTTTACCTTCCCTTAGTTATTTAATTGGTTTCTCCTTTTGTCTGTCCGTATTCTATTTGGTTTCCATGCGATGTCATTGCTATAAAATATTTGGGGGTAGGGGCTGCGTTTTGTGACATATTCTCTCTCTTGTGGATCTTCATTGTCATTATCAAATTTACACAATATTTTTAAAAGTTCTATCGTTATTAAATGTCAAAAATATGAACTGAAATATCCCGTTCCTTTAAAGTAATTGTAATTAGGTAAATACTGATATATTGTAGCAGTTATTTATTTCTTTTTGATTGCTTAGAATGTTTCACTGCCTTTTTGTAAAAGATACGTTTATAAATGAATCGTTTGCGACAAGACATTGATGAAATAATAAAATGTACATTGACCGTGCCTGTTCAAAATTATCCAATGAGAGCATTTACAATAATATGTAATGATACAAGAACAATTATAATGCTAAGTACGAGGTGTTAGGGTTACATTATTCAAAATAACACGCATGGCACAATGATATGGTGGCCGATTCACAATTCATGTCGTATTTTCGCCTTTCATCACAAAATCAGAAAATTTTGTCATCGCATCGTGCTTTTGAGTCGTCACATTTTTGATGCGACAAAAGAAGGATGATAACAAGTAACATTTGATATTTTAACTGCTTAATTTCATGTCTCGTCTCTTTCTGCGGCGAAAATACAAAAAAAATATGAAAAGACAAAAATGCAAGAAGTCATTCCTTGATTCAAATTGTTGCTTTTTACTACGTTGCATCGTTACACATTTTCCCTTTTTGCATTGTCGCAGTTTCGGGTGCTCGTTGTACAAGCACATGTACACTCTAATAGCAACAGAAATGTTAAAATGTGATGAGGTATAAACGAAAAAAAACTGCGTCTAGTGAAACATGACCTCGTGAAATCTGCAAATGTAGTCTTACGTATATTTGATAACTGTAAACAAATTATGTTGATGTTTTAGACCCATTACGTGCGGCAGAGTAGCTTTAGGAATCAATTTTTGAATAAAAAATAAGGCTGTGTTTTAAAAGTTCATATTGATTTATTTGATACAAATAGAGTAAAAATATTTATTTGCAGTTTGTGTTTTCGTATAAGTATTCACATAAACACAGGGAACGTAATTCCAAGAGCGACATATGACACTAGAGGAACAAAACCAAGATTGTGATAAACTTTGCATTGAATTTTGTCACAACTGACATTGAATTCGTCTTATTTGCGCTATTGTTTGTCTCTGAAAGTAACCCCAACATCCCTGTATTCAAAATACTAGTAAAACATGAAACATTGAATAAGCACGTGCGCATTGTGCATGATGATCAAAAATTTTCATGCTGGCGACCAATAATAAAAAAAAACGATTTTCAATTTTGTAAAGTTGCAATATGTTATATTAATTGATATTAGTACATTCATTTGACGTTATCATGTTTTTTTCCAAGGTACCTTTTTCATAATAATGCAAAAAATGCTTATAAAGGTAAACAATACGACACCTATAACAGATTGCTCTGGGATCAATTTAAACACAAGGAGCGTGGCTATGATTCATCAATTCATCATGTTTTTAGATCCATTTCACAACAGTTTATCACAGATTGATTGTATCACAGATCACAAATTGATTGATTTTTCAGACGATGGGTTCAACGTATCACAATGGGTAAAAAGATTGTATCTCATCCGGATGACGCGAGCTTAAAATCGCGTAATTCAAAGAAAGAAGCGTGTTTTAGTGTAAGAACATTTGTTATTATCTTTTATATGGACATGGTAGATATAGATAGCAATTTGTAACGACTGATTTACCATTTCTTACGAAAAATATTCCTTTTTACAAATGTCTATTTAACACCAATTTCCGTTTAATATTCTCGAAATAAAATTTTATCATTAGGATCACACATACCAATACACGCACGCATTTACACACCTATACGTAAGCACACAACTCAATCGAAAACAAAATAAAACATGTCAAACCGATCTTGGCGCAGGCAAAATCGCGTTTTTTTAGCCCGCAAGATCCTAGTAGGACACGGTTTGTTATGTATCCACTGTGAAGTATTGAAATAATTGAATACGACGTTAATTTCATTTTATATAGTACTGCAGTCTTTATGATGAATGCATATGTCGTGTTTGTTTTCCGTTGATGAGTTATAATGGATATTTTATTTTCATGTGACCAATAAATGATCGATTATTTACTTTTTTCCTTAAAACTTATTATTATTTTGCAAAAAAAGGCATGAAGGAGTGTTAGTAAAAATGGCAAAATGCGGGATGAATCAATCCTCAATTAATTCGTTAGACCTTTAACGAGATTGTCTTGTTGTTGAATTGTCTTGATTTGAATTTAAACAGATTCAAACTTGTAACTATTGAACCTTTGTTATGAAAAAGCTATCATGATATATATATATAGTTACATGTAATTACAAATATATTCAAGATAAATATGTGCGGCATCATAATATTAAGCAATGACTCAAGGAAGAAATAAGCCAACTTACAAACTTATTAATTTGATAAACAAAAGTAGTTAAGCAATGCATTTTTCATTTGGTTCTTGGTTTTAAAATTACCAAAACATTTTTATTTACTAATTTAACAAAAACCCGCATTTGTAAACATATATCTTGTCTGCATCACCACCAACAATAAGTCTACATCTTTCTCTGTCGAAACACAAAGAACGCAGAACTACAATATTTAATGGCATGATATCTACAGTCCGATGATTTTTATCATTATAATCCAGCTGATGAAGATTGTTTTTTGCATCTAATACAAGAACAATACCTTCACCAGCAAAACATACATCATGTATGTCTAATTGTTCGCTGAATATATGATTTCCTTTGGCATCTATTGTAGTTAGTATTTTATTTGTACCAAAGTAGATTCGCTCACCATTGTCACTTATACCAATTGAAGGTATGTAGAATATATCCAGATTCTCACGATAATGATAGATACTTTGCTTTTGTTTAAAGTATTTGTCATATTTGTAAATTGTGTCTCCACTGGTAACATAAAGTGTGTCACCGTGACAAACTAGATCGTAACATTCATGATCTAGCTCCACTAAATGTCTTAGGTTTATATTACCTGACACATTCACGTACTGTATGGTATTGCCTCTTAAACCAGCAACAGCTGTATCGTGGCATATATAACATACAGAATAGGGATTTCCAGGTACATCACAGTGACTAGTTACCTTGTACGAACAGTCCAATTTCGTCAGTCTTTTATTCCTGATATCAACAAAGAGAACTTCATCATTAGGAAGCATGCACATACTAGTGATATAACACACATCTTGATAATGGTTGTCTCCATTTCTCAAAGACTTCTCTATCCTAACGTTATACGTTCCTTTTAGACTTTTGATGTTGAGACGACGTTTCTGTTCAACGTAAGACCTTTCAGATATAACTTCTTTTATTCCAAGACATGTGCTGTATAAATAGAAAAACAATGATCTTTTGACACAATGTCCATTTATGATTATGAATACAAAAATATTTCACAAACAAGAATATCGACAAATACTAACTATACAATTATTATACAATCATCTAGCGTAGTGCAGAAAGTTCTATAGACTTTTACACTAGTTTTAATGACATGGCTTCAATTATAGACATTTAATAACATGACACACATTGCAATATGACGTCTGTGTATATATGTTGTGTATATATGGTGTATATGTAAACAGGTTTTTCATTGTAATTATGTACTACAGCTGAGACCAACTTGGACGATTGGAAAACCGAATGTGTAAGCCACCATAAATAAAGTCGTTACTTACTTACTAACAGCAACCGATTAATTTCAAATTAAATTAACTATCAGCAATAACTATTAATACTATATGTACTTAAAGGGCGTGTACGTTAAGATTTGAACAAAGACAATGGAGTATTCAGAAACGATACTTAATCTCAATCACGACTTAAACTCAGGAAAGGTCACCTCAAGTAACGCTGGAGAAGTCTTACGGTAAGTAACTCCCAATATGCAAAGTGACATTCATTTTGTTTACTTAACCTTACCTCTCATTTCTTTCAATCATCTAACGATATTTTTAAAGGCCTATTATGCTTACGAAATAATATCATTTTATTTCTCAAAATTTGCAAAGGATATAATCATATTGCATTATCATTTTGTATGGAAGTCAAAATACTACAGTGTTTACATTTTTCTACTGTCATAAGACATTACTATACTTAAGTGCATTTTTAAATATTATTACATTTTTTGATTATTTTTCTAAAAAAATAAAATAGAAAGAGGCATAACATGCCTTTCACAAGACTGTTTTATTTGAGTCTTTGTCATAAATTGTTATTTGCTAATACGAGTATAGAATCTTACTATTTTTAATTTCTTTTATCAAATTTTGTACAAAATCCCCACCAAAAAACAACAACAACAAACAAACAAAACAACCCTGTATGATTGCGATGCTTGAATGCCTGTAAAACATTATACAGCTGTTATGAAAGTTACAAACTGGATCTTATGACAGAATAGCCAAAACAATGTTGAAAATGACAGAATAGCAAAACAATGTAAATCATTTAAAAATGTCATTGACAAAAAAATTTGATGCTACTTTCAGAATATAGTTTCAGCTATTGAAATACTAACATTATACTCGTTTAGTAAAATGTATTTTTACATAAATCATGTTAAACAAATGTTCAAGATATTGTTTTGCTATGTGGATTTTGATTTTTTTAATTGAAATACACAGACGTCATCAACGTTAACTTTATGCCGTGCTTATTTTTGACGCTTTGAAGATTTTTTTCTGTTATGTTTCCTTTGAAATATTGATAATATGGATTGGGAATTCTATGTCAATCCCAAAATTCAAACAGTGTGATATAACTTGAATTTAAAATTTCATAAACAAAACAATAAATACTTATAACTAAATGGCATTTGTTTATACCATAAATAATTACATAGGCCTATATTTAGACGCATACGACAAATCATCCGGGATCATCGACAGTCATATTGACAAACAGCTATTTCATGTATAAAAGGAAATTCAAGAAATTTCCAACTTGAAATCATATAAATTCATTTATCTCGCATAAGTACTGGTATCCTGCGAGCTGAATACACTCTTAATAGTTCATTCTACTTGTATCATTCCAGGTATATAATGCGCAAACTCCTTTGAAAATCAAAATGTCTGATAAAATTCAACTTCTGACATACAATGTATATTAAATGGGATCATCTCTGTCACTAAGTATCTGTTTTTGAACATTAACTTTCTTTAAAAATACTGTCTGTTCGCGTATATGATGCACTTAAATGTATATGGGACGAACTTAATTAAAAATCAATACTCAAAAGTAAGTGGTATTCAGTATCATTTTATTGAGGACACCTCAAGGTAGCCCCTCTTAATCTTACAGATTCTCAAATTTACTGAGTTTACTCGACACTTGCTTTATAACCTGAACACAATTTTACTGAAAGGTTGAGGACAGTCTTGACCGTTAGGCAATTATATGGGATTTACTCAATAAGTGTGAGTGTAAGTATCGGTTCTGAATAACAATAGAAGGAAATATTCGCCAAATATCTAATATGCCTTGTGACATTAAAAACTGAAGTTTTCTAAATGATTTAAATTACTATTCGAATATCAATGTTGTTTTCTGATTAAGTTATTTATATCTAGTTATTATAATAGATGGCTCATTGCCGCCGTTTAACGCATCGATGCGTAAATCGAGCGTTAGTATCGCGCGTAAATCGGTTCATAATTATAATGTATCCGTCATTACTGGAAAAAATAAATGCAATCTGTTCCATATTAAGAATGCACATATAGCCAAGTTTATTAAACATTAAGAATGCAAACAATTTTTTAAATGTACATTTGAAAACATGTACCCGAGATTAACAGACGACAATGTGATAGTGCGATGGCGACAGTGCGATAACGCAATGACTACAGTACTATAATGCGACAATGTGATAATGCGATGGTGACAGTGCGATAACGCGATGACGACAGTACGCTAATGCGACAATGCCATAGTGCAATGGCGACAAAGTGATAGTACGATGACGACAATAAGATAGTGCGATAGTACTTTTGCGTTGTCGCCGTCGCGCTATCGCATTGTCGTCATCGCACTTTCGTATTGTAGTCGTCGCACTAACGCACGGTCGCATTGTAACCAACAGGAATATATATTGTGTTTTACATGTAAAACTAAAAAAGTTCAAAGATTCCAGATGAAAATGGTATTATGTTGACTTTTAAAAGAAACAAAAATATTCAATTGGTCAGTAGAACACAGATAATATTCATTTTTTCCCAATAAATACAGGATTTATATTTGTTGAGTGGTAGGAAATTAAATATTTTATGGTTTGCGGTATTGTTTTCTATATTTATCTCTTTTTGACATTACAATTTGAAATACTTGCACTTAAATTTTGTATATTGGCTGAATATAATGCAAAAAGTTGTCCGGCAAGATACAAGTGAAAATATGGAAAATATGTTTCATTGCAATGAAGAATAAATTGTTATAGTGAAAATACAGAACTTGAAAATATGCATTTTATTTCTAATAAATAATTTTCTCTATTAATCCAAATATAGTTCATTAATAAATCTAAATGGCGAAAATTGTTCATTTTGAAAAAAGAATGTACTGCTAAACTCAATAAAGTAATTTCTATTAGCTTTTTACTTGGTCATCAGTGGTTTTATTAATTTTTTATATTTACTTACATTGTTAAAAAATAAGAAATTTACGTCTTAATTTATAACATAATTTATTCTATATATCTAACATAACGGATAAGCAATTTTCACTATAACATTAACTTTACAGCAGATCCTACTAGGTTTAACCTGATCAGCATAACATAATGTTTTCTCTAAATATCTTTTATAAGTGGTCAGCAATTTTAACAATGTTAGTTATATGATAAATTCTATATATTTCAAAACAATAAAACCGCTGATGACCAATCACAATTTAATAGGTATTACTAAAGTGATTTTAGCAGTGTTTAATAGAGACCTGTACTTACAAATTAGTTTATTAAGGAACTATCTGTGTGTTTGTCGAGAAAACTTATGTACTACTGACTAGTTGAATTTAAGGAATATTTTCATTATGTATTTTAAAAGACTTTTCAAAGTTGCATAATCATCATCATTTTCCATTACAAAATTATAGTTTATACATATTTTAAGTCTGTTTATATAAATAATGTACGATTATCTTCATATGTTTGTATCTTTTAAATGTCAAGATAACCTCATTTTCATCTGAACTTTTATTAATTTATAGCTTCCTTTTCAGTATACAAAAAGAAAAAGAAACAACTAAAAATAATGTTCCCATATTCTATCATGTTAACACTATATAATCAAGAGGGCGACAATGCGATAGTGCGATGATGACAATACGACACTGCGATGACGACTATGCCATAACGCGATGACGACAGTACGAAAATGAGACGGTGCGATAACGTGATGACAACAGTGCGATAACGCGATGGCGACAGAACGATACCGCGACAACGCGATAGTGCTATCAATATCGTATTGTCGCCATTGCATTGAGGCATTGTCGTACTGTCGTCATCGTGTTATCGCACTGTCGTCATCGCACTGTCGTATTGTCGTCATTGCACTATCGCACTTTCGCATTGTCGCCATTTGTATTATAAGTAAAACAATTACAATGTAAAAAATAATGCTGTAAGGTACCAATTTGATTGACGCTATACAATGTACAAAGACTTTTATCATTATTAGAAGTACCGTCGTATCATTTTCTCCTGGAAGTTTATGATTTGCTGTAAAGAAATATAAACAGATTGCTCTAAAATTTTGAAAAAGTCTTCCTCACTTGAATGTTGAAGCTGCAATTACCAAAACTGTTTGAATTGGTCCATTAGTATTAATAAATTAATTTTATGTATAGGTTTAAGTTTATGTATATGCACGTGATTTATTTGGATCTGGATTTGCCAAAAATCAGGGCGACGAACACAATGCAGAAGTAGTCAATTAAAACTCATGATTAGGAAAACTGGTCATGTATTTGTAAAGTTGAAACTGCATTTTATTTTATTTCTATTTTTTCTTAGTGAAACGATTCCTAAATGAGATCATCCTAGTTTTTATTATTATAATAGATCATAAATACTGTCCGATTTACGAGATTTGGTTATTTTACGTAGATATTCATTATGAAATTTTTCATATATATATATAAATTTTATATATATAAATGTATATATATAAATTTTCAACTCCAAATATTTCCTATCCATTTGTCAAAATTAGTAAGGTAAACAATGTGTTCAAATAGTTTAATTGTAAGATCTATTGATAGATAGTAAATACATTGCTTTTAATTCTTGTTTCTAGCTTTGAGGAACGAACCATTGCAAGAGAATGTCATGGTAAGAATTGGATATCTCAATATTTTCATCTCTTAAATAAAACCTAAAATCCCTGGTTTACCAAGCATCAAAAATAAGTATTTGAATTTTGTTTAAGTTAACCTTTAGATGGCAATTATAACAGTAGTCATTAAAATGGTTCATGCAAATTTGGAGATCGTCAGCAATGTTTGATAACAGAATAGTGTCGTTTGCATAAAGAATAACAAGAATGGTAAGCATTAAAGCATTGTAAAGTAAGATCGTCGTGATCAAAAAGTTCCACTGTTCTGTGAAACAGTTTGGAGGTCATTTAAGTACATAGAAAAAAGGACTGGAGACAAATTTACACCCTGTCTAACCCCTATTTCGGTAATGAACGACGCCGATACAGCTCAATTATGTAAAATAAACGAATAAATGAAATCTTTACCATTTATAGAATTTTCGAGCAATTTATACCCACCCTCCATACTTTATCACAAGCTTGAGAGAAATGTACAAAATCACAGGAAAGTTTCTTTAACATACTTTTTAAGCATGTCAGAAAGAGCTGGAGTATAGTGTAAATAAGTGATCAGTACAAGGAAAACAGCTAAACCTTGATTTTCATGTAGAATATGAATATAATTATGCGCATGTATATAATAATTCACTACTCGACAGTGTAATACACGCTGAAGTGTGGTCATAGAGGCACTCAGTAATCGACATCGCTAAAAAAGCGCTTTATTTACGTGAATTAAATTATTGGGTGTTTAACTAATAAGACCGTTACTTATGGTAAAAATTGATTATCGTCGATTGCCCTAAATCCGTCCCTGTCCTAACCAAGAGACAACATCCCTTACTTTATTTTTCAGAAGGTCTAAATGTCCTATTAGGCGGCGTTATATTCCGATCACAATAATCTGAAGCTTTACGGAAAAAGTCGAGCAATTTTCATTGATTAAAAAAAATATTCATACGCGTAAATTGTGATTGTGACTTTATTGACAATTTGATAAGTCAAAGTTTCTTTAAAACTTTGAATGCGTTTTAATTCGTTAAATACTTGTAGCAAAATAAAAACATTCCTTTCTGTTACATCGCTAGTTTTAATACTTTGTATTGCAAGGTTTGTTACAGATATTGAATGTCAGCATTGTATTTCCTGATCTGCTATGAAAAAATACAAATATTATGTACGAAAAATGTTTGCGCCCTTTCTTACATAATATATATTTCTGGGTTTATTCATATTTTTTTTCACTTTTATATTGTATCCATTTCCTTTATTATCGTATGTACTTTTATTGGGGAAAACAAGTTCCACGCTCAATTTCGATTAATTCCTGTCATTGATTCATTTTTAAAGCGCGCAGAAATCGGGGTTGTATATGCAAAAAAAATGCCGTGTAGGTATGACAGCTATTAATAACGAATGTATAAACACAATCTTTGTACCTATAATACTGTAAGTTTCGTGTTTATATAGAAACATATGTTTAAATTGTCAGCACCCTTCCCTGCTATCATTTGCAAGTTTGTTAAACTGATTGACAGACATATGCGTTGATATTTTGACTGTCTGTTTCTTAGAAATGGCGACAACCAAGATAAACGGCGATATATAAACGTAGATAATAACGACGTTTATACTTGGTTGCTGCCCGCTATTTGGCGATAAAAGACACCATTGTTTTGCGGTCCTGATGACATTTTAGACATCATAAGTCCATTATCGCACAATCGAGCAGCAACCTTGTATTGGCCTCTAAGAAATCCGTTGAACAAAAATGACATTCGAAATAGTCAATATGTTAAGGGAATTGTTGTTACTTTAATAAGCTGTATGAGTTATCAGCTCTGTTATAGAAGGGCTAATTTTTATTACTGATAAGATATTAAAATTCAATACTGATGAGCATGCAATAATAGTTTGCATATTTACAAAATAGGATGACTATGGTCAGGTTCAAGAAAATAGTATGTATAACAAAAGGTTTATACCAGCAATTACAAGTTAAAAAAGAAACGCAAAAATGAAACGCAATGTCTATATTAAAATTCATTATTACACAAACCGCGGCTAATAAGTGTAAAACTATTCAATTATTGACTAATGTGCCATTGAATATGATTTGATATTCACCAGCAGAAAGTCATACTGACCTCGGCTATCACCTCTTTAACTTTAAGTTCTTGCGTTGAAGCGCGGGAAAAAAGACACACATGTTAGTCGTGCAACATCTACGCAAACGCTGCGCATACAAAGTAATTCGAGTTTATACTCATCATTGCTGTTTTACCTTTAATGAATCATATAATAGTAAAGTAGTGATATTTTAATCGAGAAATATGCTCTAAAGAACAAAACGCAACAATTACTTTTTAAAAGCACGCGTAGATATATGGTCATTGAATATAAGTCTCAATCTATTTTTAGACAGGAAATATCCAATTCAGCAAATGAATATGATACTACACCAAGTGAATATGATTTTATAGAAAGTTATGTTGACTTCTGTTTGGACCAATCAGATAGCAGCTATATTTAGATCATATAATAAAGCCATTTAATAAAAACATTTTTACACTTTGACGTGACGTCATTTGCGCTGTATATAAACATAGCTTATTTTAAAGCTCGCTAATGTAAGCGTTACACTATTGGCGCGTAAATGAAAAATGGCTTCTTTAAAAAGTTAACGTTCTTATTTTATGTATGTGACAAATAAAATATTATAATCGTGTAGATTCAGTACTAATTTAATTGGACTCGTTGAATAAAGTAATATCATGCTCGCCAGAGGCTCGCATAATATGATTTTATTCAACTCTTTCAATAAGTTTAATATTAATACTACAGTTATTCAATATCCTCTTTTTATGAGAAATAAATTGTACATTCATAAAATAAAAACATATTTTAAACAATAATAATGATTATCATATTCACATAAAAGATGATACTACGAATTAAGATAAAAGATTCCGATTCAAATTTTATTATATTATTCTTAATTCATATAAGAAAATTTTCACATTATAAACGAACTGGCGGATACTCTCTTCAATAAGTATTACTCTGTTAACTGTCAAAACCGCATCACCTGCTGGATAAAAAATCCTCCAGTGTTTCGAAACCATTTAGTCACTCACTGTACCTGTATCTTATTGTAGACCAAATGTGATTTCGGTCAATCGCTGTAACAAGAAGACTTATAATTCCGTCGACACTCAAATGCTTATCAAGGGAAATATATTACATGATGTTTTATTCGTCTTACTATCCAAATAAATTAAAATTGTTTCAGATTGGTAAAATTAGGGATAAAAGTATCGGGTCAATAAAAGTATCAGATGATTAAATGATTCTAATTTGTTTACAAATTTTTAAGTGAAATCAAACCTTAATGTTTCTGACTGATGAGTTGCCAGTCATTGTCGAACGCTTTCAAATAAATTGAGGAATAAAAGTGTCGGGTCAATAAAAGTTGTTTTGTCGTATGAAAGGGATTCAACGATTGCTCACGTTTTTGTTGTCATTAATCATAGTTTACCAACAATTGGATTTTAGAGAAGTCTCAATTATAAATCTATTTCAGAGATGCACAGATCCTTTATGGCAGGTGGAAATATTTCAATAAAAGATATCGAATGATTATTTTTAGTCAAACTTTACTTTTTTCTATTTTTTTCTCAAGTAATTTAAGAGAAATCAAACTTAAATGTGTCTGATAGATAAGTTAACATTCATTGTTGCACGCTTTTAAAATTCGTTTGTTTAATATGATACCTGTTGTACCATATTAACCACTATAAATAACTGATTGTAAGAAATGTATAATTACCTATGTGTTGATTCCCTGCATGCTGTACATAAAAATGTGTCATGGTCAGGACAATAGAGAGTACATTGTGTATTTTGATGCTCGGCACATGTCATTGTTCTGGTAAAGTCAGTAAAGTCTGAAAACAGTAGATTTACGTTTTCAAATATCCGTACATGTATTTGAGTTTACAAAATAAAAAATATCAACGAATTAAGTTTATTTTATAATCCTAAGATATCTTAACGACATGAGCAAAATATTTATTTATTACTTTTGATTTAATCAGACAATTAATACTTTTAATATGCACTAATTACAAATCTAACGACTGGAGCAGAAAACACTGTAAAATATAAAATATATCATATATCTTAATTGTTCATATTAAACTTACGCAGATGATGTTTTGCTTTCTCTATGCTATTTGATGAGCAATTGGCAATTATGTCATGCGATTCAATGTCATATTTCACATGCAGCCATCGTCTAAGGTCAAACAGTTTTTGTTGAAATTCGTTTCTGATGATAGACTTTAGAAAATCTTCCATGGCCTTCGAATTGGGGCAGTTGATTTGTATGTCTATTGACGATTGGTCAGTGGTAGAAATATCAACGATCCTGCATTCCTTCATGGCCTGTATGAAATTTACGAGGTGATAGACTGGTGTATCAGTTGATTTTTCATCCAAAGGCGAACTAGTCATATCATCTCTATCTTTAATATAATCTCTCATTACTTCATAAACTCGTTGATTCCCTTCAGCACTTTTTTCACAATTTTTAGCAATAACATTTATCTGTAGATCAAGCAAGAAGTGCTCTGAAAAAAAACATAACATAAAGAATTAATGCACGCTTTAACATGGATCAAAATATGCAGATATAATGCAGGCACAAATTCTGTAGTATCGCTATTCTTCAATAAGTCACATTTGCGTTTCGTTAATTTTTCCACATAACTGTAACACAGGTGTCGTCATGACTTGCCGTTTATATCCGTTATACATGGCGCCCTGAGTCATGCATATTAAAAAAGTGCATGCTTGCGTAATTGTATCTGTAAAAGCATGTTTCCGTCTTCGTTAATATACCCCTACGTGCGCAGTTTTTATGCAAGAACAACAAGTAAATTGTTCTTTGACTATGAATTTTTGATATATTTCAAATATAGCTAGTTCAACTCGTTTTAGTTACATTCTCGTGTTAGTCCTCAAACAAAGGAATATATCAAATAACCTTATGTTCTTAATCTGTTTTCCTTTTGTCTTCTTTTCAATGTTAACAAATCTTTAATTCTTACCAAATAAGAGCGGTGAAGTCAAAGGTTTTTAAGTATTTATTTTTCATTAAGTACCTTTAAGATTCTTTTGTTTTCCCGCAGATCTAAGATTTAGCATAAGCTGAAGCTCATTTTCTTTATCTGTAAATAAAAACAATAATGGAAATTTATGTTTATAATATTCAATAATGTTAAACAGAGTATATGCATATCCTATTTTTAATTAATTCGGCATGTATATAAATGGAAAGAATACATCTTTAGGCCAGATATTTTGCAAGATAATTTCGACATCCCAACCTCTATGGGTTTTAACTTTAAAACAAGAACAACAACACTGTTTCTGTTTATAGTTACAAGCCACTTAAAGACAAAGTCTGCAAACTCGGGAATGTTTTCTATTAATTAAAATTACGATAATTATTTCTTGATTATTCTTTTACAAGCAACATTATTTTTTTTTAAATTTGATGTTCTTTTCATTGTTTATTTTTATAGAAATAAAGACGTTTTGTAAGGAAAATATTTCTTGCATGACCTCATTCATATAAATTTATTATAGTGTGAAATCCTCAAACACCTATTTCCTGATAAATGTCTATTCAAACAACATTTTCATTTCAAAATCTGATTCTCTTTGTAGCTTCTTTTTTTAATTCTTCTTTCTCTTTGTAGGTATTTATACATTTTGTACGAGTATATCAGTATAACATATGTTTAAAACCTTTTGTCAATTATGCATAATGTTACTCTTTTGTCGAATCCAACCGTTCTATCATTAAAAAGAACCAATTTATGAATTCGTTGAATTTAAAGGAAAAATTGTCATTCTTTTCAAACGTACACAGGATTTTTGAACTACGCATGTTTCTCGAAAGCACGTACTTTTAGATTCGAAACATGGTCTAATGACCTGGAAGACTTTTTGCATAAGGATAAACTCTTATTTGTTCAAATTAATAGTCAAGGACAAACCTTTTATTTGTTGCTCTATAAGTTGAAGTTTCAGTTCACGCTGAAGAAAAAAGGTTAAAATGTTGCATTATATATATATTTCGAACCATGCACTAATCGTGTATCAACATGTCGTAGAAAGAACAAAATTGTAATTATATTTAATGTGGAAATATTCATTCTCTTAGGCCTAATATGATACTTACGCAACACTGATAATGTTCGGATACCACCTAGTCTAAAAACTTCCTTTGGTTACCTTAGATAGAAGTAAGAAGATAAGAACAGTTAATGACCACAAAGTACATTTACAGCATAACACTTTTTTGTCATTAAAAAATTATGTTTTCCAATACTCACGAATGTATTGTACGCATAAGTGTTTCTTTAAGCTACAAAATATCTAAACGAGGCTTTATATTCAAGCGTGCATGATTTTTAACAGAGAGACATGTAAAAATGACAGGTTAAATGCACAAATTTTAACATGACTTTCTCGGTAATCATACGTATACAATAAACAGAGTAGCAACTTAAGAATCGCAGTATTTTTCAAAGACATTTGAAACAATTATAAATTTCATGAGACTTAAAAATCAATATTCCCTTACCTATAAAAGGCCGTACGCGGTAAAATCATGTTACAACAAAATTCAAATGCATTACCTATAAATATAAAACTTGCCTGTTTTTCTGCTGTCTTGTATTTCTCTTCTAATCTAAACATGCCATGCTCTCTCAATTCTCTCACGTCACGTTCAAGGTTCATCTCAATTTGATTTTGTTGCACCTGTAAAAGAAATTATGATAGGACTCCGGTCCGTAAACTCATTTGAACAATTTTCATGTCAATACAAAAATAATTGAAAACACATTTGGCACATTGTTTTATAAGAATGGAAGGGATCCTCCCCCACTTGAAAGCAAAGGAAGTAATACATGGATAGGTATAAATGAACTTAAGATTTATCTAGTTTAAATTTATTGCCGCTGCAGTATCTACATGGCTTTGGAATATAGCGATTCACCTCTGTGTCTGCGCGTGCGCGTGTGTGTGCGTGTGTATGCGTGCGTGTGTGTGCGTGTGTGTTACCAACGACCCCGCCAAAGGGAATTTTACATAAAACACAAAATTGTGCTATTTCAAATTGTGTCTTTTATATAAAATTCCCTTTGGCGGGGACGTTGGTAATTATGTTACAAAAATTCTTGTTCAAACATTACACATTGTTTTATTATTGTGAACATTTTTGCCATAATAATTTCAAATTCCCTTGATATATAAAGAAGTTCTGGACCGGACACAAAATATACCCTGTAAGAGACTATGTTAATATTTGACCTCCAACTGTGACATTGACCTTGGGGTATGCGTAGGCGACTGGTTTTAGCGCATGACACATTGTCTCATTATTGTTATCATTTGTGCCAAAAGCTTTCAAAATCCCTTCATTGATAAGAAATAAATTGACAGAGCACGACATATACCCTCGAAAATACAACGTTGGCCTTTAATCTACAAGTGTGACATTGACCTTGGAGGAAGGGTGCATGACACATTGTCTTATCATAACAAACAATTGTGACAAGTAATTTGAAATTCCTTTGATAAATGACATAGTAATGGACTGGACATTAAAATGTGAAGGACGGACTGATGGACGGACGGAGCCTATTTCTATATTCCCCTTTTTTCTTCAAAAGACGCGGACAATTTAACATTTGCGTCTTCCCTTGCCCAAGGAGACGGCGACCTGCTTTTTTGTCTTTTGATGTACAGCCATAAAATTTGACCATGTGCACACTTTGAGATGTTAAATTGAATTTTAATATATTGCATGCAGCTGACCTAAATTATGACAGGTTAAGTTGTTTTTGTCCTTTGATTACAAGTATGAAATTTGGATCATGTGGACAGTTTTAGGTGTAAAATTAAACTTTGATATCAAAACATGCAAACAGAAAAAGTCTTCTGTTCATGCACTATTATCAAGTGGTATATTAATACGGTGACATAGCATTTTTCACACATGCAATCTTGTTGTACAACAAACTGTCGAACTATTTACATGTAATAAGCTTTGTTGATCATTTTTTATCCTGTATTGTTGCAAGCTTTTTAATATCCAAATAATTGTCTGTGTATATGTGTGAAAAGTCAAACAGTAACGAGCTCACGTTTACAAAGTGATTCATTATAATGTTAGAGCAGACAAAGATATTGTACTTACTATTATAGTCAATAATGTATTTACTATTATAGTCAATAATGTAATTACTGAATACAATAAAATGTTTTAACACTTATGCAAAAAGACCTGAACGTACTATTTTATATCATACATTTGTTACAAAATAACAAGTAGCAAGCATACAGAATTTTCTAAAGAATAATATGCAACAAATACGAGTACCAATGTGATTAACATATTCTTAATTTAGAGAGAAATACGCTTTAATCCACACAAATTTTAATAAAAGCGAATAGAATATATCCCAAATCGGCTTATATTGTCTTTATTGTTATAGGTTAATTACCATATCTAGTAAAGGTAATGCGTGTGCAACACCGGGTTTCCCTTTCATGGGTGTATTGCCATGTTTGTCTTCGATTTCTAGTACTACTATATAATTCCAATATGATTATTACCATATCTAGTAAACGTAATGCTCCTTCTACGCCTGGCTCCCCTTTCAAAGGTGTATTACCACGTTTGTCCTTGATTTCTAGTACTTCTTTGAACATTCTGATAAACTTGTTTAGTTCATTTTCAGATAGTTCATAGTTTGGACTGTGAAGAATATCATTCCTCGCTTCCCTTGCCTGTAAAAATAACACTTCAGTATCTAAAGTTTCATTTTAATTTGTTGCTAAAAAACTTCACTTATAAATTAATCAATTTTAAAACAAATTCGAAAAGACTGTTCTAGACTTGCATAATAAATGCAAAATATATACATGTATATACAATGTTCAATTGAAATTACATACAACAATAAGTGATTACTGTGGTGAAGATGTGTACCTTTGCAAAGGCATCTATTTTTCCATCGATGGTAACTCCTCCAAGCATTATTTCTATATCAATGTTGTTTATACACATACTAAGTAAACCGGAACAGTCGACCTCTTTAGCTGATCGCTTGCATTTGTAGCCAGTAGTAGAAACAAAGCATGTAGCAACACTCCACGCATCACTGCTCCATTTTTGGATATCTGTATTTGTGAATAATGGATCTTGAAAACGATGTTTATAAACTATTTGATTATAAACGTTGCCATAAAATCCCCCATTTGGACACATTTGTCTTGACTTCTGTTTCTGAACTTTGGTACATAAACATTGATGTTTTCTTTGTCGTGGGCATTGATCTTGTTTATGTGGGAGAAGACTTTCCTCTGTACAAGTGTTGCAGGAGTGTCCAAGTTTCATTAGATCATTATGTTGTTTGTAAACAACTTTGTCGGAAAAACCCTCTAACCCGATTTTTAAATATTTTAACGCTAGAGCTCCTCTCATCCAATTTCTGTACAATTCTTGTGTTATCTGTTTTCTGTGTATAAGGTCTGTTTCCCCTAAAATAAATTGAAGAAAATTGCACCAATGATTTTCTGGTATCGGTATGAAATCAAGTGCATTGTTTGCTATTTAGATTTACCACCTATGACCCAAACCAATTAAATAAAATTAACGACTTTTAAGGACCTGATAGAGATTAAAACCAGCTATATAAATAGTGTAGGTATTACAAAAACGAAGATAACATTTATATATGTTGACCTTGTATTTGAACTGTTGTTTTAGATGAGACATTCCCAAAGTCAACTGTATATTCACCCTCGTCGTCTAATGTTACATTCATGATCATCAATTTGTGTGTAGAACCCTTTGCTTGTATAACCTTTCTACCAGACGATTGTAGAAGTTTTCCTTTGTGTCGCCAAACAGGTTTACTCGTAAGCAGGTTCACCTTACACTCTATATCAATGTTTCCATTTTCAATAACCTCAATCTTGACTGGGAAATGAACGACCACACTTAATGCTTCATCTGTTACAGAAGGATGTGATAATGATAAATGAACGAACCAAACTTAATTTTGTAATTTGATATTAAATCTAATATTGCGATTATGTATGAAAAAATTACATACATATAAGTATTGAAAATAAATCGTACATTAAAATGATTTATTGCATGAAGCAAACGTTTTGTCGTTCGCAATGATGTACTCAAAGTAATCCAAAATAATGTTGTCAGAACAAAATTTTCCTTACATGATCTTTGCCGTGAATGTACAAATATTTATGCCCCCAGCCCTTGTAACCAAAGTAACAACCATTATGGAATAGACTCTTACCAATATTCGCCCATGGTGCTATCATACATTTACATTTTATTTAATCTATTGTCATTTTGATTACTTCTAATCAAATGTACTGTTAAATTACAAATATATAAAGTTGATAGACAATCAAACTTAAGTTTAATCTAAAATCTTCGTCCTCTGGTTATAATTTTCATACACTAGGTCTGCTTCCTAGATTGAAAGTTATGAATAGTGCTATGGTAAACTATAGTTATTTCTTAATCTGTTTTAAAGCATTGAAAAAGGACAAACGTATTGTTGTTATAATTCGATTAAAGCATACCTATAACAGTAAGATCAGCTGATGTTGAAATATGGCCACATACACACGTATATTGACCCGTATCTTCCAATGATGCATGGGAAATCGCTAACCAATGATTGCCATTCTTGCTCATGACCATAAGATTGTTTGAAATTTCAACCGGCTTGAAATCTTTCCTCCATTCAACATTTCCATCTGTTGGAAGGTTGAGTTTACAAGTCAAAATAGCTGAATCATTGATGTAGACATATTTGTTCTGAAGTTCTTCAATGAACATTTGGCCTGAAGTATATTGTATTTTGTTTATAAGATTATAATTCAGGTATATCAAGTTATAATCACCCCTGACTTTTTTGGAAATGTTAATTTCCCATAGGTTACTGGGAGTTATTAATACAGTCAATGCAAGTGTACTACGTAAATAAGAAATTTGTTCGGTTACATAGGTAATAGTACTTTTTTTTAGTATAAAATCTGGTCACGTGGTTTATTTTCTAAAACAAAAATGGCAGTCATTGGTTTTTCTCGTTTTTCAACACAAAGGGCCATTACCAGATAGACTATTGAAAGACAGAAATGTTAGTTGTTTGCATCTTGAAAGTTTTTTGCGTCATAATTGTCTTTTGGTTAAACATTGAATAGTAAGAAATAAAATTTAGTTTTCTTAGGAAGTTATTGCATTGGATTTACTATGTGTCAAAATGGAACAAGCAGACGATAAAAGCATGCAAAAAAGATTATTTCACGAATTTAATCAATGAAACAAGACAATTGTGGTAAACAATTGTAGGATACCATCGAAATGGAAATGAAGTAATAGAAAGAGAACCGAAACACGAGGTTATCTGATTTGTACGAGGGGGCGTAGCCCCCGAGTATTAATCAGATTACCGAGTGTTTTGGTGTTCTTTCTCTTTTGTATCATAGTCAAACATAAAAACACGTTCCCTGTTGTCACAATATGAAACTCCGGCAAAAATGAACCAATGAACGAACATCTGAATATGATATTTCTGTCGCTTTCACTTTCTCTGCCGTCACAATATGTACCCCGGCAAAAATGAGCCAATCAATGGCCATGCTCTGGTGTGCGGGTAACTAATACCCTAACACATTTTCAACAGAAAGGTCTCCAAACTATGATACAAGTAATAGAAAGAGCACCGAAACACGAGTCTATCTGATTTGTACGAAGGGGCGTAGCCCCCGAGTATAAATCAGATTGCCGAGTGTTTTGGTGTTCTTTCTCTTTTGTATCATATTCAAACATAAAAACACGTTCCCTGTTGTCACAATTTTAAACCCCGGGAAAAAGTAACCAATGATCGAGCATCTGAATATGATATTTCTGCCGCTTTCCCTTTCTCTGCCGTCAAAATATGTCAACCCCAGCAAAAATGAGCCAATCAACGGGCATGATCTGGAGTGCGGGTAACTGATACCTGCACTCCAGTTACCGCACTGTGCATGTATATGTAGAGGATTTAACTCTGACACTTTTTCAACAGAAAGGTCCCCAAACTATGATACAAACACAGCTTATGTATGTTTATGACTGGTAGATATCTTAAATCATCATATCCTTAAAGAATTAAAGAAAAAAAAACTTTACAACTTCACCTTACAACTTGTACGACAAGAACAATTGTGTTATTGTTACTATTGGTTCAATTTTGTAACAGTTAAATTTAGTTGCACTTTTCAGATTATTGCAGTATTCGTTCGGGGTAATAAATAACAAATGGCTTTGTGAGGAACAGTAAAAATACCATCCATCGTAAAAAACTGTTACCCGAGGCGTTAAACTGCTCGTACCATTATCAAATTGAACACGATCTCATATGTTATGATATACTTTGCATATATCATACAATGTATTACATATCATTTGATTGACCATGTATTGTATCAGTTTCACTTATGTTGAATACAAATTTAGAATATACACACATGAATGCTAATTTAATTTTATATTCGATCCTGGCTATTTAAACAATTATATCGCTATAGCCAAATTGAAAACTTGCATACAAACATGTTCATAAAGTAATGTATTTGCATACAAGATAACCATATGAATAAAATTAAATTCATACTGTAACACAATACTTACCATTGGTCTGGAGCTTTTGGTGGTTCTCTTCGCAAATGATATCATTCTCTGTTACGACATCTACATCAATTGCAATTTTAAGATGAGTTTTGATATCATTTGTCTGTGTTAGTTTGTCTATCTGTGTTTCGCTTAATTTAATTGATTTTGATTCAAATGAAAACATCATACGTTTACAATCAAGATTAGCTTGGTCGTCTATGAGCGTTATCAACTCGAGTAATTGATCGTGCAATAAATGTTGTTTCTCGTTGTAGGTATTGAATGTTAGGGAGGCACATTCGGTGTATTGTTCAATATCTTTCCTCTGATCATATACACATTGAATGGCTTTAACTTCTGGTTCAGTTAGATCAGATTTAAACAAAACTAATATCACAGCACATAATTGAAGAGTGTTCCACGTATCAATGTCGTCATTGACATCTTCTTCTTGAAATATTTGAGGATACTCTGTTTCGTACAGGGTCTTAAAGGCATCTCTATTCTCATTTAGCAAAGTACCAATACTTTTTCCACATGTTTTCTCTTCCTTTTTAATTATGGCCTTTAATGCGATGGGCGAAGCTTGTTCCAGTAATAATATATGACAAAGGTAGTGTTCATGCCCTCTAGTGATATCACAGCTCTTCTGTAACAATGATTAGAAAAGGCTTAGAGGTTTGCTTTCCTATGAATGCATTTCAAAATTCGATTTGATATTTCATTTTGTGCAACCTTGTCTGCTTTTTTACTTGAAAATACCATGACATTCCGTTTGGATAATTCAAAAATCAGCAAAACAAGCATATCAATAAAGTAAAAATAAGTAACAACAAATATTTTGCAACTATATATTATGCGTAATCTATAAAGGAATGTAAATATAAAAATTATGATAAATGATATTACCGATGGTTCCATCTCATACGCTTAAATTCCCATTTGTCTTATCAGGATGATATGTTATTGTCTCTGAAGATAGAACAATCATTAATATTTTATTTCAATAATAACAACAAAAACATTAAAATATATGTATAAATTTAAATATAAGTGTAATTTCTCGAGTTCAATAGTCGAATGTAAGAATTCATTTAATGCTTGTTCCGATTTGTAACAGTTAGTCGAAAATTCGGTATTTATTCATAATGAAACACAGATATTTGTGAAAAACAGTTAAGATGTCATCCCTCGTATCATTTTTAAACCATCAGTATTTCCCGGGAGGATTATATCATATTGTTACAAACTTCTGTCTCATTTTTACAACCGACTTTGGTTTTAAAAAACATTGTCTTGGATATCAAGACTGTTAACTGTTCATACGTATATTTTACAGTTTGTAATATAAAGTGTACATGGTTCTCAGTCCGTCCAATCCTCCTGTTGAAGGAGCTATTGTTGGAAATAGTTGAAGCAAATAACCTATAAAAGTCAGTGAAATGTAACTCCACTACTTTACTGTTAAATCAGCTCAAATAAGGTCACAAAATATTGTATCTTTGATTGAAACTTTTGATATTTATATAATTGCTATACTGAAGATTTTGCTACATATGATTATATTCACAGTGACGTTTCCCGTGAAATTTTCGTTACAGGGCAATGTACTGTGTGTAACTGCAGTTAATTCATCGTCTGTATAGTTCATGTCAATTCTGTATCTTGTATGAAATCTTTCCGTGAAAAATACAGTTTAAATGAAATGAAAGAAAAAAATATTATGAACCTCCAGTAACTAATAATGTTTCTCTTGTTATGAACTTTGTTTTATTTTAAGAGTATTTGTTAATTACATAAGTCAAAGGCCTTAACCCAACCATGCACATAACTATATAAAATTTTCAAAAACAATTTCACTAACTTAACAGTATTCCTTTCTAATTAAAGGATTAGGATTTTTATCTCGTATACTATTTATTCCAGTCACAATGTTTTGAAGTGTTATGGGAACCATAAAGCAGGCCTAAGACTGAACAGCAGGAACTCGTTTTATATAGAACTTCACTACAATATACCTAGCTAGGTAAGTTGGTTTTGCCTTTTATATACAATGTATCGAATTTTAGCTGTTATAATATTATAATATCTTGTGATGTGTGCTGAGCAAATATTTAACAATGCATTTTCGTCAAAAGCACGCCAGATAAACTCTTAATTCTACATATTCGTAACATTCCCCTTTTTGAACATCAAAGTGATTTTAAAGTTTCTCAACAAAACACACACACTTATATTAATTCTTTTGACAGATTTAAAAGGTAGGCAAATTAAAACCGAATATTTGCTTTGAAAATGACAACATAGCTCGTGTGCTATAGGAATCGATGGACCATTTAAAAAAGTGATCTTTAAAATAAGACATATCACATGCCATTTGGTTGCCATTCTACTCATTTATATGCATTGCTAAACTTTAAGTTACAATAAAGATTTTGCTGTTCATATCCAATTTTTTGTAACATAGAGTGATATTTTATTTAATATATACTTGTGATAAAATGAATGTGTTTCCAATGCATTTTGTTGTTTGTTTTACTTTTGCAAATGTTTACTGGAGCAATAAAAGTACCATGGCAGATATTTACTAACTTGCCATTGCAAAATTTAAAAACATTTTATTTGGTTATATCTTGGTTCTATTTCCACCTATCCAGCTTTCATGAAAATAAGTAGTTCTGATTTTCTGCGCAAATGATTGCATACTTATCCAACATTATTTTTGAGCCTGCGGTAGGAAACAGTAATGGCAATTACGAGGGTCATTTAAAAGGTTCTGTCACTGGTCTCAAAATTTTGTAACTATAACGTTTTGTGAGAATGGTGTCTATTTCAAACATTTAAAGTATGTATCCACTACCGAACTACATTTTTGTTATCTTTCTGTCCACTTTCAAAAAGCTGAATAATAATATTATTTTTTTGAAATTGTTGCAGACATTGAAAGATTGCCTTGCTTAAAGAACTCCTGGACGTATTACTTTTACCAGAAGGCATATTTTAAGCCTTGAAAACAGAAACAAGTCGCAGGAAGCATGGGACTGTATGACGAGATTGATAAGGCAATTGAACAAATTCTCCACTGGAATAGAAGAAATTCTTCTCTATACTGATGGTCCTTTTGGTAATACAAGACCTTTTATCTTTTCGAAAACACTGTTATCGACATTATCGACATAATCTGAAAATGGCGATTTTTTTATGTTTTTAGAATATCGTTTGCATATTTAAGGCGGGCGCTGTTACTTTTGCTCCTTTTTGAGCAAATGGGGGTACTTATCTGCAGCCAAACTTCTTTGACCAAACACTCGGTCACGATGACATGAATACATATTTCTTTCTGATAGTTCGGTACAACAAATATATCCTTTACTGACAATCTTGAATCATGTTTTGTTATAACCTTTACAACAGCAGTGCTTGCCATGGTAAACGATGTTGAAGGCCTACCTGAACGGAAGTCATCCTTGACACATCATTTTCTAGATTTTAAAGCTTTGACCCATCCAAATACCATGCGCTTTGAAATGACCAGAGGTCCATGTATGACACACGAATTATTATATATATGCAGCTTTATCAAGTCTAATGCGACATAAAATATAGCTTCAAATTTCAGTATTGTTCTTCATTGTACAAATGGTCAGTAAATTTGTCAGTGAATATGACTGCCATTGAACGCCTCATCTAAGAGCAAAATGTTCTTTAAGATAATATGAGGATAAAACTCGTAATACTATTATGATTATGATGATAGCAACGGCGACGATAATGGTTACGCCAGCAACGTTGATAATGATAATGATGGTGCCTAGATGAGTATAATATATATGATAACGATAGTGATGATTAATTTTCAAAAAATTTAAAAAAATGCTCATGAAGTGATGGGTTAAACAATTTAAGATACTTAACACTTTTCTAAAGCGCGTAAAAATATGGGTTGAATTTGCCAAAATGAGCCTGGCAAAATGAACCCGTTAGCTATTTACATATAAATCACTAATATCAAAATGACTAACAAGGTGCTTGCGACGCAATAAGCCACGCACAGGATCCTGAGAAGGATTATGTTGTTACGGTGAAAGTTTTACAATTAAAATTGTATGAGTGACATTGACTGAAATTCCATGTACACTTAGATGGGCATACTTTCAATTTAACCCGGACGCGGGTCAATATTGATTCAATAAGCATGATTATTATCATATTTGTAGCTCAGAGCATCGTAGTGTCACAAAGTGAGACAAAAATGTGTTTTTCTATGGAAATCTATATAAACCGAGCGATACCCTGGTTGGAGCAAACATTGACCTTAAGGGCATGGTTATCAGTTTTGTAGATGTCCACAGGGCAATGCTACATACAAAATATCTTAACTTCAGCATAGTTTTCATATGAGAGTCTATGTAGATCAAGAGAATACCTGGGGTGGATACCTGGCCAATGGATGAATGACAACGTGCATAACAATAAACGCCGATTCTTTTATTCTCCTTTTTTTGGGGGGGGGGGGGTCGGGCGTATTGAACGGATAAGTAACCTTTTTACACGACATTACTTAGCTGATAAGTGGGGCAAAACATAAGGTAAGGCAAATCTAGGAGTAGAACGGCTTGTCTTGGCAAACACCTATAGATCTTCACAACATTATGTAATTTTCATAACCACCGAACATTGCTGTCAATTTCAGAAAAGCATCAAAAGTTAACTGGACGTTTCAAAATTTAAGTTTACTTATGATGTCAAACTGCCTAACAGGCAAAGGAAAGCCCAGTAAACCAATTAACAAGAACTCGGCAGAATTAAAAATCTTGCAGGCTCGGTTAGATTGGACATTTCCATGGACGGAACTAGAGAGTACAAGCTAAATTCAACGCTGCCTAGAATTGGCTGATGAGAAAATTCAAATATTGATATGTTAAAATTTTTGAAATTTTATTCATCCACCAATGTGTTCACTAAGTGGTTTTAACTCATTGACCCCAGATAGTAAGTGTCCACTTGCCCCCTGATAAGAACTGATAAGCCATCCCCTGTGTATTTTATTGATTTTATCTACACTGTCTCCCTAAGATTAATTGAATGTTGTGATCTATTGGTACACTGTTTATTGGGGTACTTTACTTGAATGGCTATAATTGACAAATTTATGACCCAATTAACAATAAATTTGACACACATGCTGACAATTGAATAAGCCACATGGCGGTATAATTTTTATGTATGAGATATCGGATAAACCCACACAATTAAAGAGGAAAGCAATTAACAGTTATCTTTTTTATTAAATATCAACAATAATTAGTTTTAATTCATTAGAAACATTTAAAAACAGAAAACATTTATACAACATGTTTTTCCACTTGAAGTGTTTATTTCATAGTAAACAATTATTATAATTAAATCCATTATCATTGTAATCCTTGCAAAATATTTCACACCTACACACTTGCAATTATTGTTCAAATTTACACTCTTTCCATTGTACATAGACTTCAAAACAATTGTCTTTTAATTCTTAATAATAATAATAAATTAAAGTTTTTATCTGTTTCAAATAAATGAATTATATATACAAGTTAAAAATAATTTACTCTATTTTATAACAGTCATGCAAATAATTCAGAGAACTATTTTATCAATTTTAATTATTTAGTCAACACTTTCATTTTATATATTTCATTATACTCAGTAACTCACAGTCTTTTGTTTTATAAATCAAATCCTGATTATTTATTTGTTTTTTTTCTGTCTTTTTCTAATAAACATATACACAGATATATACATGACATCTTCCTGTTAGTTTCATAAGATCTCTGTGATAACCTTGAAAACAATCAATGCACAGATGCACTCCACAATGTTTACACATATTTATTATTTCCTTTCTTATTTTATTTTTTGAACAGTGTCTACAACGACCACGTTTTTTAGTTTTAGCAGGAAAATGCCCTGCATTCACAGTTGTCAGTGCATCTGTTTCATTTTCGATATAATCAACGATAAGTTGCTTGGCGAGAGCCTAACGAAATTCTGCCATTGTGCGTATTTTGTTTTTTCCCGTTTTTTTCTGGTGTTGTTGTGATTCTTTCATTATAATGAAAACATTTGTCACTGCGACATCGAAAAAGATCCAAAAGAGATACAGCCACCACTTCTTGGATGTACGGTACGTGCTGTACTCTGTCCTAAGTTGGTCTGCGTGGTCGACTCCATTCATATTGTTATTGTATTCGGGAATAATGACAGGGGCTTCAATTTGTTTTGTTTTTTCGTAATACCGAACTTGTTCAACTTACTGGATTTTCAGCTGTGGACAAGGTAAATATATGTTTTTTTTGTCCTTCCAGACACATGCAGTCAGTTTCCCTTTTTAAGCCATATTAAAATCACCTTTATTTTTCATTGATTTAATCCTTGTGATAAAGGAAATCCTTTCCTATTAGATCTTACAGTTCCTCTTGCATATATTCCTTTCTCCAAAAGTTCTTCAAATAAGGTGGGCTTGTAAAATAATTATCCATGACCATATGATTATGTCCCCATATTTCTCTTGTCATATCCTTGACAACACGCAATCCAAGCCCAACCTCTACACCACCCCTTTCACGTCCAGTATAAATTTGGTATTCATTTGTGTAACCATTCACAGGATCAGCTCTCATTGAAACTTTCATTCCATACATAGTTGGCTTTGCTGGTAAATATTGTCTAAATGCTATGCAACCACGAAATTATGGCTTCTTCATCTACACTGACATTTTGATGAGGGTTATAATTTCCAAGACATTTTTCTAGAACAGTTGTCAAGATAGGGCGCACTAGGTGAAGTTTGTCATGTCCTTCTTGGTCTCTAACTGGATTTTTAGATCTATCATTTGCGTGGATGTACTGGTCTTGTCGAAACGATCTCTTTTCATTATCCGCCTTATGCCGAGGTTACCAAACAGACAATCCTTCGACCAGTACCAGGCCATCTGCGGAAGCTAAAATGATAAAAATATATTATTTTCATTATTCATTAAATAATTAATTATTCTGAATAAAATTTTAATTCAAATGCACTTCATTTATATTAAGAATCAAGTGTTTAAAACTCATTTATGATAAATAATTCATAATATGAATATTCCGGGCCCATTGTATTACTACTTTCATGTTGTATCATATATGTGCAACCTATATCTATATCAATTTTACTGTTTCAACGGGAACTTTATAATTATATATTCAAATTTTGAATTTATTTAAGGAATATTTATCTTTTTATCAAATTTATAAATAAATCTAGATCGTTATAAAATAATCCTATACTACATACCTGTAGAATGCTCATGAACACCCTGATGCCTAGCCAGGCTTTTAATTCATGTAGGGTAACAGACCGCCATACTGGATCTGGCTTCACCTGTTGCTTTTGTCTTGCATACAAAATAGTTTGAGCCACCAACCACTCCAATCAAAGTTAATGGGAAGAACAGAAGAAAGAAGTCAATTTCAAGTTTGTCCCCTGGTAACTGTGTAGTGGGCCAATGTGTGTGTCCAGTAATCATTTGTTTAGGGATATGAGAACGGTCATTTACTTTCCACCTTTGTTGATCCGAATTCAAATTTGATCTGCTTTCATCATCACCCGAATTATTTTCTTAGTCTGAACTATCATTTTCTGAACTACTTTCTGATGTCAAATTTAGACTTATATCACTATCAGAATCCAATGGAGTATCCTCCACATCGGTCTCAAACTTAAGCTCAAATACTGACCGCCGATTTTCGTCGTTTTCGATGATTTTCTAACTCAAATTACTGTTACAACCATTCAAGTTACATTTTTTCCTTCTCTTCCGTGATTATCCGTTTTTCTTCTCTAAATATAACCCGATTCCTGAATTGCTAATATTTAAATATTCTCGGGGAATACCTTGAAAACAACCAATGATTTACAACGATACAACGTGGCGCGCGGGAAGTAAAGCTAGTCTTATCAAGCCGCATATACGCAGCACGCAGGACAGGTATAAAGTCGATACCGATAGTCGATATCGTGGCGTGCGGTATAGGAAGAGGCATTATCGTGGCGTCAGGGGTCAATGAGTTAATAGACTGGTATTAAGAGGAATTCAGATTGTGTTATGGTAAATTTTTTAAGCTTTAATCATCCACCAATGTGTTCACAAAGGGTTTTCATAGGCTGGTATTAAGAGCAATTTAAAATTGTGATATAGTAAATTGTTGAACCTTTAATCATCAACAGTGTTTTTCATAGCCTAGTATTTATCATAAGACTGGCAATAATTCTGAGATGCCCCCACACGATCATATCTGTAAAGGCTCAATTGTTACTCGTTCTGGTAGGAAATAGTCAGAAACAAAGTTTGTATCGACAAAAGCAAGACTATTCTGACATATAACATAAGGTGGAGGAAGGAAGATCCATTTATTGGTCAGAGGGTTGATAAATTCAAACAAAAGCGGAAGAAAGGAGATCACATGGAACATTAATCATGCATAACACCGCAAAAAGGAAGTTTCTAAAAAATCTCCAAATTGAGGCGGACTATGTCTATGGCAAAAGTCAGGGTAACACTTAGGGGTCAAATAACAAAATAAATCATTCATTTATTTGCGAATATAAATATAACTTCGAGGATTTTAAAATTGTGAGCCCGCTTGTGGTGAGGTCGACTTAATCGCCTTTTCACTTTTGGCGGTTTGATGTATATGCGTTCGTCTAGATTTGTCCAGTCTATATCTTGCTCATTCTTTGAAGATTACAAAATTGTTTGATAAAAATGTTCACCATAATGGGGTGTTAAATCACTTTTTACTTAGTGGCTACTTATATAATATTAATTTTCTCATTCTGTATATTGTTTATTAAGTTATTATTTATTATTACCTCTGACAATTTAGGCAATGTTAATTTCCCATAGGCCGCCATTCTTTTCCAGATTCAGCCTGTTATTTCGATGTGTAAAACGAAGGGGCATCACAAGAATGAATATTGAAAGGCAGACATTAATGATGTTTGCAACTAGTTTAAATTGTCTGTTGGTCGAATCGTTGAATAGTGAAATATTAGGTAAATATTCGTTTCTTCGGAAGTTAGTGCGTGTCAGACGATTAAAACATGCATAAAAATATATTTTAACGAATTAAACCGGTGACTCATGAAAAGGTGTGGTAGACAGATGTAGGATACCATCGTTATTTCATATAATTATGCATCTTGTGAAAAACTATGAAAAGTGTATTATGGATACAAGAGGATCAGATTTCACAGATCATAGCCGTAAAAAATGGGTTTGTGTTTGGTTTAAAAATGAAACACAGCTTATTACATTAGATAAATATCTAAAAATAGTTTTGTCGTCGGCCTAAAAAAAGCATTCTACATTTTCATTAACCATTTTAATAGTACCGGTATTGTTGTAAATCTCATCAAATACTGTTCATAAATTAGGATTTTAAATGGAAAACCCCACGGTAACACTAAAGTTCGTATACGAATGAAGACTATTATCAGCTCGTGTATGCGCCACGTCACAGTGTTATAGTTGCTATCCGGAACACAACAAATATAAGATTTTCCTTTAACCGTTTTAGCTTTACGATGCACTAGGCCTGGGGTTCAGAAAAAATAATCATCTCATAAAAAAGGTTAAGTTTGTAAGAAAACATCCGTTACAATGTGGAATTATACTGTAAAATTAGGACTGCTACTACAGTCATGATTGTTGATTTATTCTTGATTTACGAATGATCTGTAGGCGGAGTTTCTTATGCAAACAGAAATTGTACTTCCGTATTTGCCACAATGAGGTTGCACATCTTTAAGCTCATAAAACTCATTTGGTTGTCTGAACTCTTAAATGCAGTCTGGTGGTCTTATTATGTATTTCAAACCATTTGATAAATTACATGTTTCAAAGAAACATTATCATAGTCAAGATATCAATAATATGTGATGCACTACTACTTTAAAAAAATGAAAGTGAATTTCATGATAAAAAGACCTTTTTAATACGCCGTCCGTTGCTATGCGTACATTACCAATCATTTGATATTATGGAATCCACGGGACACGATTCAGAACTGTTCCCTATTTAGGGGAGATTATGTGTAAGCGGCCGGATCGGTAGAGCGGCTGTACGGTAATCCGAGGCTGCCGGGTTCGAGTCCAGGTCAGGCTGCACATTTGTCTCACCCTGTGATATTTAATTACCAACACACTGCTGCTCAAATAAAACAGTCGTCTGATGATACTATAAGCCATCGTTGACAATGTGAATTTTCAAACTGGGAAATGTCGAACAAATGGACACATGACCGGTTGATTTTACGGCCAGTTAACAGACAGACAGACAGGTATACATATATTTTTATTCACACAAGAACATGTGTACAATTTTAAGATTTTCTAATATAATGCATAATTATAAAACATTTATTTTCCAGCAGTTAACATTCAACTTTTACGCAATTATACCTTTTTATGTAAACAAGTTTGTTTTCTAGGGTGTGAATTCAGATACTCTTCATTCTTAAAGATTAAACAGTAACGTTTGATCTTTATAGGAAAAATGAATAGCCTCCCTGGTGAAGGATGGCCTCAATTATTTCTTAACGTTACCTTTTCAAATATTTTGTATGTATGTTTCAAGATTATTTCTTGACACATATTCATGTCAGTAGGACATCGTTGCTAACCTTGTTATTCCATGTATTCATTGAGCTTCCATGAAATCATCCATCATCATCGGTGTTGATATACGAAACGGCTAATTATGGATGAAAACCTCGAATGTCTCACCGTGCATTATTTCACAAGCTTTGAGATCTGGTCGATACTTGAAATAAATATTTTCAAATCTCATCATACCCGAATGTTTGTATGTACAGAAAGATAATTTTAGAATGCTGAAAGCATTCAAAATAAAACAGCTCTTTTTTCAGTTTTTTTTTCTTTAGTAACATGATGGACGTTCAATTGACATTTCTGCCAAGCCGAATTTTTTAAGGGTAGGCACATTCATGTCAATCAGTAATGATAATGTATTTTTATCAATAGTTACATATCAGCTGTCTGATTTCTTGTTTGAACATCAAATTATCTTGCGCCCCAGTCAGATATGACACATTTACAAATGAGCTTTATCGGCGTGCTATCAACTGAGTACTTAACATTATATTACTTTTCAACATGTACATTACATTACTTTCTGAACCTGTACATAAGATAACATCGGAATATGCACAATCAAATTTTAATATTATCTATAAATATATCTATATACGCTGTCTATATAATGTTGTCATATAAGAATATCAATATATTGCGTTTGCCTTTGTTTTCATTAAAAGTATTTTAAATTGATTTTTTATACTATGTCAGGGCTGCAATTGAACTAACACTTTCACAATTTTATTGTTACATTTATAAGCTTATGAAAAATTATATAAAAGTTTGCTTGATGAATGTGTGCCTTGAGAAATTGCAATAAGCAGAGTTATAAGCGATTCTTAATTTAAACATAATTACGCCATGCTATTTATTGACATCAATTGAAGTTCATTTGAATAGTTAAAAAGACGTTATTTGTATCCACCCTTGACATACTGTTAGATAAAAAAATGAAGTTACTTATAAATTTGAAAAACAAAAGGCTAGATCTAATAGTATTTTGTTCGCAAATTAATTGCCTGTGGAGTAACCTAAATAAAAGACATACAAGTATAGCATCATAGTATTTTTTAGTATTTTAAGAATGAATTAGGCTATCCGGTAGTGGTATTGGTGTGAAAAAGATGCCGTTGGTAGGGAAAATGACAAAAAAATGCACGTTTAAAATTAGCCATTTTTACAATAATACTTTATATTTTCTATTATAAACAGTATAAAAACTAAAAAAGGGTGAACAAAAAAGATTCTTACCCCTTATAAATATCTCGCGTCCTACAGTTGATTTTTATCACTATACTGTACCACCCCCTTTATTTAATAATCAGTAAAGTTATCAATTTACGGAAAAACACGGAGATAACCGAAACTACAAATGAAATGAAATGTTAGCAAATTATGGCTTGTCAAAGATTGACAGTATCTAGACTATTGTATGCCCTGATAAGTTTCAAAAACTTTCAAGTAATTTTGAATTATTGTAAGATAAAGAAGAAAACGTCTCGCTTTAGAATAATAGACAATATTGACATTCATCTTCATAAGTAGAAAATGTCTAACGTTTGTAATAACATTCGATAATTTCAACTTAAGTAAATATTTCTAATTTAATTGGACCATAGTGTGTGAAAAAAAGAGAAGAAAAAAACTTATATGAAAACTTTTAGAATATTGTTTCGCTTATGTACATGCATAATTAATAAGACATTTTCTTGTTGTACGTTAACAGATAGGAAAAAGCTATTTAATAGCTATCAGTAACTTCCAATAGACTGTCTCGGGAGCAACCAAGGACTTCTTAAGCAATCACTGATGTTCCGTAGTAACCAGTGACTTCCGAAGCAATCGTTGGCGTCCCAAAGCTATTAATGACTTTCCATAGCAACCATTTATATAGCATAGTAATTATTAATTTTGTACATGGCTGCCAGTGACTTCCATGGCAATCGTTATCTAAAATATCAATTGACCTTTCATATCAACCATTGATTTAAATGGCAATCATTGGAGTTTCCATGGTAACCATTGACTTTTCATTGCAACCAATGACCTTCCTTTCCTAATAACCATTGCCTTTCAATGACAACTAGTGAATTCCATATCATCAAGACAAACATTATATAGTTATGTCTTTCTAAATGTGTTTGTCTTTCTTTTTTACTCACACATTCACTTCTGTTAATTGGGTTGTTAGTCAGTTCATGACTGTTAAAATCATGTCTCCAGTCGTTACTGATTATGCCTTTATTAAGTAAAATTAATTTGCGAATATTAAAGAAATGAAAATATCGCTGAAGTATGTCAATTATTGTGTTTTATCCGGCAAAATATCCTAATTACCATTGGTAGGCAATGTTTCAAATGTGTCAAAATTATATATTGTATCGTGTCGTTATTGGACAAAACTTTCTTGTTTATTATAATCTAATGGATGCTAAATAACTTCATATTCAGATTCAAAATTAAAGCCTGGCACAGCCATCTCGCTAATGCATTATTTGATGAAAATGGAAACAATCAGCATTAAACTGACAAGTATTTACAAACGCTCTCTGTAATGACACATCAATTTGTACACAACTAGACCTCTGTTTAATTACATGTGGTAAGTCACGTACTTATCTATAGAAAAATATTGTATATTCTAAACGATAAATGAAATAATAACAGAGGTAATTTCATCTGGATTTGGAAACTTGAATTTGTGTTCGTAGGCGCTGCCCGCCCAAGCATAAATAATCAGACCACGTAGTCAATGGGTCCTTTGATTGGGCTTTGGTTTGAGCAGCAACACCCAAATTTTCATGTTATATTGAAGATAAAATATAAGCGTTTAGAAAGATCAGCTGTTTTGAACAAATGGGCCGAAATTGACAATGCTGCATTGCGCTTGGATGCGTTGATGAATAACGGCACTGATTGTCGCTAGCATACGAGCATCGAGAGCGGCGCGCTATTTCGCTTCCATGAAAATGTCGATAGCGGTGTTCATTGTCGCTTGTACGTAAGAGGTGAAGATGAATTACATGACACCACTGATATGTAATCTAACTTTGCATCAATTGCCGTGCAATATTCCCCAAGGATATCCGGATGTGGTTTCGCTTACAGTCGAGTAGCAAAATCGAAATGAAACATATTTTGTTTCTTCTTTACTTTCATTCCTTAATAATAGTTGTTCTTTTAATTTAAGATACAGGAACACATCTTTGTATTGGGCGTATGTATGTATGTTGATCACGTTCGAGAAAGCTTTTGTCTAATGCCGATGCATCAATTGTATTGCAGCAACATTTATAGTTTTGACATGACTGTCTATAAATGTTAAAAAAAACATTTTTTCACGTCTTATTATTTGGACTTACATTACTCATGTTGTAAATAAGTACATATATATTTGTATTGCTCAAAAAGTAAATTTGTCATGGATTTTTGTTAAATTAATAGTCTCCTGCTTTTGGCAAATTCACTAGCAGGCAGATACAATTTTAAGAAATAGGAAACACGTAAGCTTTTAGGGACTCCTGTTTTAGAGAGACATTTTTTTTTTTAATTAGAATACTTTATTTTGTTTAATGTGGCGTCTCATTTCTGAGAAAATAAAAGATATACAATATATATCAATTATATACATTCATTGACATCCCTAGACTTCATCTTATTGAAATCGAAATATGCCCATTCTAAGTAGCCATTATGTACATTTGTTGTGCACTGTGGGTGTAACATATGGTATAATAAATCTGCATTTACGCTTTCAGTGAAAATGTTTGGTTCATTGTCTGAAAAAGACGGACAAAATAAATTTATTTCTTAGCTGTCGTTGTAGGCAAAGGAAATTTATTCAGACCATGTATATATTACCTCTTTCGTCCATCAGTTTGTATCGTATACACCAACAAGAGGCCTTTGACAAAGAAGTTGAGGTCGCTGACCAAAGTCCAGGCCAATATTTCCTTATTCCAGGGCCCTTGTTAACCTCTAGGGTAGCGGGCCCTCAAACGGGGGAATTTTAAGATTAATTAAGATTTTTATGTGAAAATAGGGGGAATATATAACTACTTAGGGAGGGGAAGGGGTTTGAATAAAAAAAAACAAATATAACGTGAAATGAGGGTCCTGTATATAGTTCAGGGTTCGCACAGGTATCGAAAAATGTTTGAAAACTATCTTATCTTAAAAGTGCTTTTATTGATTGATGTTTCAATGTAGGAATTATAAATATCAATGCTTTCATCCAACTGAGAAGCATACCGTTTTTCAGACATGAGTCTCCATCAACGTTCATGTTTTGTGAAAAAGGAAACCAATAAGTAAAATATTAAAGATCCTGTATATTGTAATTGAGGTTGTATACCATATTTAAGTGAAATTATATATATATGTATATACTGATTCTTATTAAAGAATTTTCAAACATCAAAGAATATGTAAAATATTTACTGCACATTTGTGTACAGTCATATAATATACATGTAATCATTAAAATAGATGCATTCATTTCTTATTGGAAAATTTGACTTAGACTTTATAGAAAATATTTTTTTATTACCTCCCTTTATTTAATATGTAATGTTAAATTCGGTTATATCTTTATAATTAATGTTTTTTTTAACCTACAAAATATATTTATGATATAAAACCATTAACAATTGTGTTACAGGAATTTTAATACTAAAGCTGTAATAAAAAAAATTCTGTTATAATTCATTATGTGTTCAGCAAGTTCGTAGTATTTGTTACTGTGAAATTTCAAATTATGAATTTTTACGACATTTTTTCTCACTTTAAACTGATTTAGTGGCATTCCCTAAATTTGTTTTTTAAACTGCTCCGATGATTAATAGGTCAAAACTAAACAACCTAATAGCATTAAGGCTTTGCACTTAACAATTCGTTTGTATCTGCGACACACAGCACCTATGTGGATGTTGATTCCAAATTCCCATTTATATTTGAAACTGGGGATAAATTATAATTGTCCTTTTCATGATAGTTTTCCTTTCTTAAAAGAAAATTTTAAAACAAAAGTAATTAAAACAAAGTACTTAAATTTTCGGGGTACTAAGGACATATAAAGGAGTAACATTTAAAGTTCAAAAATTGCTTTAAGGTTTGTATTTCAGGCAGCCAACAAATCATTTAGAACCAAATTGGGTCTGGCAATGAAACAGAAAGAAAACTGACATTTTCCATAGTGGGTTAGATTGAAGACTCTAAATACAATCAGGAAAGTTTACCTTATTAATGCCTGGATTTTTAAATGAGGCATCTTTGACCTATTGGTTAAGGTCGTTCAAGCCAAATCAATCCCCCTTTCTGATGATTTGAATCCCGCCAGTGACTTTGGATTATTTTCATGAGAGGAAGCTAGCATATAGAATGTGGGTTCTTCTACATGGGGTACTTGTTTGTGCCTGTAAGGAATGGCTAATTGATCAATTTTCAAAAGTCTGGTTACCATGCTTTAGTTTCGTAATTAAAAGACACTGGTTTCAATTTGTCAAAGGTGTGAATTTTTTCTCTTTGCTGCAGATGTTACCCCCGGATCTATGTTGAAATATTGTAATAATGATATATTTATATCACAGTTCAAAGTATGTTTCAGTTGATTTTATATGTTACCCCCGGATCTATGTTGAAATATTGTAATATTGATATATTTATATCACAGTTCAAAGTATGTTTCAGTTGATTTTATATGTTACCCCCGGATCTATGTTGAAATATTGTAATATAAATATATTTATATCACAGTTCACAGTATGTTTCAGTTGATTTTATATGTTACCCCCGGATCTATGTTGAAATATTGTAATAATAAATATATTTATATCACAGTTCACAGTATGTTTCAGTTGATTTTATATTTGTGTTGTTTTATTCTTGAAGTGAATAAAGCTTTATACATCTGCTACAAAATTTTATTTTTTTTTAAAAAGAAGAATACTTTCAAATGACATGCATGAAATAAATATGGTAGTTAATTGATTCAAAAGCAGATGGATCATGAACACTCATTGGTAAACGGATTAAACACTGCTTAAAATAGTTAATTATTGGTTCATGAAAATTTAATCCGGTTTTTATATACATTTTTTTTTGTGTGTGAAATGACACTTATTCAAAATCGACCATCAAACTCGGTGAATTTTATAAAAATATTTAATATGATATAGCTTTATACCCTTAAAAAAGCAAAAGTTTTGTTTCTTTGACACAAATTGAGGTAATGAAGTAAACAAATGATTCTGTTTCTGTGTTTTATGTTGTCATAGATGTAAGCAAGTGGTATTAAAAGTTAGTGTCGTCACAAATATATAATAAGAACGAAAATATGAGGTGTATTGTGTCGTATAATTATTTATCATAGATGTGAACAAATGAAATATTTGTTTTAAAATTTGCTGTTATATCAAATGACATGCAATGTATTTGTGTTTTCTGCAAAAGTACCAGTTATTTCCTAACATTATAAGTGAATTATTTTTGCTATGTGCATCTTGTGTATAATAAAGATGTGGGAAGAATTATTTTACTTGTTTTAGATCAAAGGAACCGTTTATTAAATGTGTGATTAAAATTATGCTGTTACTTAGCTTGATTTTTCAAATAACAGACTTTTAGTGGAGCTACAGTAAACTTTAATCCTTGTGAAGGCGCATGTGTTACACTGGTTATAGTTTAAGATGCATTTTCATATCTCCACATTCAATTGAAGGTGTTCACTTGAAATATCATGCTTCTCTTGACATTATAATTGAAGGATCCATATCTTTAAAGCTGCATGCCTACAGATGAGCCAAAATATTCCAAGAAAATTCAACTTGAATGTACTAAGATTTTAAGAAAAACAGATTAAAGATTCTAGTGATAATTCATATCTAATTCTTATGTGCAATTAACGACTGATTTTTGTGTCGCCTTGAAAAGGCCACATATAGTGGTTACTTTTGTCGGCGTCAACCCGTAAGGCTTGTCCGGAGCATAACTCAGTCACTATAAGTCTGATTGACTCCAAACTTGGTATGCATGCTTTTTCAATGACCATAAGTGCAGTGCACAAGAATCATTACTCTGCGCTTCTTTATTTTTGAGTTATTGCCCTTTGTTAATTTCAAACTTTATTTTTGACAGGGCCATTTCTCCTAAACTATAAATAAAAGCTATGAACTTAAAACTTCATAGGATGATAGATGTCATTTATAAGAAGTGCAGTGCTTAAAAACCGGTACTCTGCACTTCTTATTTTTTGAGTTACTGCCCTTTGTTAATTTTCATACTTTATTTTTGTCCGGGCCATTTCTCATGAACTATAAAAGCTATGGACTTTAAACTTCATTGGATGATAGATCTCCTTGATAAGAAGTGCAGTGCACAAAAACCGGTACTCTGTACTTCATGATTTTGGCGTTGTTACCCTTTGTTCATTTTTACACTTTGAACTTCGTCCGAGACATAACTCTAAAATTATAAGAGATATCAACAGGAAATTTTGTAGGTAGATAGATCTCATTCAGTAGAAGTGCAATGCAAAAGAACCATAACTCTGTCTTGCCTAATTTTGGAGTTATTGCCCTTTATTCATTTTTACACTTTGAACTTTCCAGGACATTACTCTAAAACTATAAGAGATAACAACATGAAACTTTGTTGGTAAATAGATCTCATTGAGTAGAAGTGCAGTGCAAAAGAAACATAACTCTGTCTTGCCTTATTTTGAGTTGTTGCCCTTTGTTCATTTTAACACTTGGAACTTTGTCCGGGACATAACTCAGAATTATAAGAGATATCAACATGAAATTTTGTAGGTAGATAAGTCTCATTGAGGTTAAGTGCAGAGTAAAAGAACCTTAACCCTATCTTGCCGTATTTTAGAGTTATTGCCCATTGTTAATTTTTACACTTTGAACTTTGTCCGGACATAAATCTAAAACTATAAGAGACATCAACATGAAACTTTGTAGGTAGATAGATTTTATTTAGTAGAAGCGCAGGGCAAAAGAACAATAACGCTTGTCTTGCCTAATTTTGGAGGTTTACACTTTGAACTTTGTCTGGGTCATAATTCCAAAATTATAAGGGATATCGACGTGAAATTATGTGGGTAAATAGATCTCCTTGGGTAGAAGAGGTCAAGATCACATGATATAGGGATCAAAGTTCAAATAGAAATATGACAAAGTGTATAGGGATTATAACACAAATGGTCATTATCATGACAACATAATTATGTGACACTTGTAAGATTGGTGAATATATGCAAGGGCAAGGTCACTGAAAATTAAGAAATATCCAGATTTTGTCCAGAACATATCTTCTACATGCTTGGAGGGATTGTAATGAAACATCATAGAAATGTTCACTTCTATGAGAAGCTATGACTGCCCATGAACCAAGTATATAGGTCAAAAGTCAATGTCACATACAGAGGTAATTGAAAAAGGCTTGTCTGCAACATGATTTCTAATTGCATAAAGGGATTTTAATTTAACTTAGTACAGATGTTCATTATTTGAAGAGTGAAAGGCGCAAAATTCAGGTCCCAGCGGCTAAGGTCAAGGTCACACATGGGAGTAAAAGTTAAAATAAAAAATAATGAAGAGGTTTATAGGAACCATTAAGTCATTATTTATTGAGGGATTATAACACAAATGGTCATACAGCCATGGCGGAACTTGTATTTTAGGTCAATTTATGCAATTCAAGTGCGCATTTCATTGGTGATGGATATAAAAGGAACTATTAAAGTTTATGGCTTGGGGCATATACTTTTGTGTTACCCTGTCCAATTATGCGGCCAACACCTGTTTTTCAATTCATTATCTTGGCAACAATTGTAAACAATCAACTCAAATTTGAAATGGATATCATGGTGTACATGTTCAACTCGTTTATGATAAAGATAGTTTCTAGGAATACGCAGGTCAAATTCGAATTTGGTCATTGTTCGATGATTTTTGACTGAGTTATCCCTCTAACTTTGAAAAAATAAGAAATGTTCAATTTCCGTTCATTATCTCCCCAGCAGTTGTGCACATTCAAATCAAATTTGACATATGGATACGTCAACGGATTACTCGGGCCAAAATTGAATTTGGTCATTGTTCGATGAATGCCAATCTTGTGTCTTTTTTCGTTGATAAATTGGAATGACATTTTTCATATGAGCTAAAACTAATTATTTATATTTTTCCTTAAACCTATTGCTAAGATAGTAAGTAGGACTGTTAGGCCAAAAATAAAATTATGTTTGTTTCCCCTTCCCGACTCAATAAAATTAGGGGTTGGTAGGTAGGAAAATTATTTTATTTATATGTGCATAATAAAAAATAATTTGCATATATGTATGTATAACTACTAAAATTAATTCATTAAGTGTAATAGTATATGTACATGCATTACCATATTCACAACTGACATATTCAACAATGTATATACTATGTTAGCTGTCTAAACTATCAGATTATATTGTACGAAAGAAAAATAATCTTGATCCCCTTTGAACCTGAAAAAAAAATCTTTTGGGTAGGGGCAAATTTGTTAGGTAGGTAGGGAAGGAGAAACAAATTTAATTTATTTTAGGCCTTAGTAGAAATGACAATATGCGGGATAAATCAATATCAATTCATTCGTTAGTCCTTTAACAAGATTGACTTGTTGTTCAATAGTCTCGATTTGGTTTCAAAAAAGTTTCAAACTTGTAACTATTCAACCTTTATTATAAAAAAGTTATCTAATATATATATTACAAGTCCTTACAAATACATTCAAGGTACATAAGTGCGATATCAAAACCTTTAACAAGATTCACATGTTGTTTAATTATCTCGATAATGATTCAAACTTGTAACTATTCAACCCTTATTATGAAAAAGTTTGTAATATATACATGTAATTACAAATACATTCAAGATAAATGAGTGCGACGTCATAATATTAAGCAATGACTCGAGGAAGAAATAAGCCAACTTACAAACTTATTAATTTGATAAACAAAAGTAGTTTAGCAATGCATTTTTCATTTGGCTGTTGGTTTACCAAAACAATTTTAGTAACTAACTTGGCAAAAACTCGCATTTGTAAACATATATCTCGTCTTGAAATCCACTAACAATAAGTCTACATCTTTCTCTGTCAAAACACATAGAGTGCGGATCTAAAATATTTAATGGCATTTTATCTGCAGTCCGATGCTTTTTACCATTATAATCCAGCTGACGAACGTCGTTGTTCTTTATATCTAATACAAGAACAATACCTTCACCAACAATACATATATCACGTAAGCTATAACCGACAAATTGTAAACTCAATATATGATTTCCTTTGGCATCTATTGTAGTTATACCTGTTATTTTACTTAAGTAGAATCGCTCACCATTGTCACTTATAGCAATAGGGTTTAAAATGAACGCACGCAGATTTTCACGGTCATGATAGATAACTTGCTTTTGTTTACAGTATTTGTCATATCTGTAAATTGTGTCTCTACTCCTAACATAGAGTGTGTCACCGTGACAAGCTAGACCGAAACATGCATGATCTAGCTTCATTAATTGTCTTAGGTTTATATTACCTGACACATTCACGTACTGTATGGAATTGCCTCTTAAACCAGCAACAGCTGTATCGTTGCCTATATAACATACAGAATAGGGTTTTTCAGATACATCACAGTGATTTATTACCTTGTATGAACTGTTCATTTTCTTCAGTCTTTTATTCTCGGAATCAGCAAGGAGAACTTCACTATTAGGAAGCATGCACATACCAGTGATAACACACATAAATTTATCATTATTGTCTCTTTTTATCAAAGTATTATCTACACGAACGTTATGACTTCCTTTTAGATTTTTGATGACAAGACGACGTTTCTGTTCATCATAAGACCTTTCAGATGTAACCTGTTTTATTCCATGACATGTGCTTTATAAAAAGAAAAAAAAACAACATTATTTTATTGACACAATGTTCATTTGTGATTATGAATACAAACAATATCACAGACAAAATTATTTACAAACACTAGCAATACAATCATCTAGCATTTAACAAAAACTTCTATTGTCTTTTACACTGGTTTAAAAGATATGACTTTAATTATAGACATTTAATAACACGGCTCATATTTCAATATTGATGTGTATATATGTTGTGTATATGTAAACGGATTATACATTGTAATTGTGTATTTTGAAGCTGTGGCCCACTTTGAAGATCGGGAAACCGAATAAGTAAGCCTCGTTTAATAAAGCGTTACTCACTTACTTACAAACAACGAGTTAACTTCAAATAAAATCAACTATAAACAAAAAATATTCGTTTAAACGTATAAATATATTCTAACACTATCGGAAATTTTTCTATATAAACAAAGAAGGCCCGAAGCGAGCATTATTCTACAACAATGTACCCGCCGTTCTTATTATCTCCCTTTGTACTTTCACAATGAGGGCGCCATTTTGTTTGAAAAATCTGATAAATAAAAAACAATTTTGTTGTGAAAACACTCTAGAATGATAGAAAATGGTCTAACTAAGAAAATGAATCCGAACACCAATATCTTTAATTCAGTCGTTAACGCTGTACAGACGTTTAAAGTGTTGTTTACGTGACGTCACAATGAAGCGCCAAACGGCACGTGCAAAACAATCAAATCAAGTACGCTATTTTTAATGTCGCAAACGAGTTAAGTTTTACATTTATTTCACTTTTAATAATTTGTATTTCGATTGAAAAATTATAGATTGAAATAAAATAAACAAATAAAGTTTTATCAACGTTTTCAAAATTCGTTATTCTCAAAATGTTTCTACCACCAAACAGAAAGTCCAACTTCATAATAATAATTTTATTTTATCTTGACGTTTTAGAATGGAAATAGATATTAACTCTTCGTGCATTATTGTATAAAAATGCACGTTTTTCGTTCAAATGTTTTGTAATAAATCATTCAGGCCTATCGGCCTTCGTGATTATATTACTACGCATTTGAACTCAAACCGTGCATAATTCTACAACAATCCACTCAGAATTGATATCTATTTCCTAATTCATTTAAAGGGTGTGTACGTTAAGATTTGTTCAGAGGCATTAACTATGGAAGGGAATATCCGCAAATACATTATAACATTACATATGAAGTTTTGTATTGATAACTTTAAATTACTATTCGTATAATCATTATTGTTTCCTGATTTAGTAATTAATATCCAATTATTATATAACTATGATTTGTCCCGCTTGAGTGGCATCGGTGCCTATGTAAGTATAAACCCGCTAGATCGGGTGTAAATCGGTTCATTATTATATATTCTAACACTATCGGAAATTTTCCCATATAGAAAAAGAAGGCCGGAAGCGTGCATTATTCTACAACAATGCACTCGCCGCTCTTATTATATCCCTGTGTATTTTCACATTGAAGGCGCCATTTTGTTTTAAAAATCTGATAAATAAAAACAATTTTTTGTCGAATTATGTTGTGAAAACTATCTAGAATGAAAGACAATGGACTAACTAAGAAAATGAATCCGAACACCAATATCTTAATTCAGTAGTTAACGCTGTACAGGCGTTTAAAAGTGTTGTTTACATGACGTCACATTGTAGCGCCAAACAGCACGTGCAAAACAATCAAATCAAGTAGGCTATTTTAATGTCGCAAACGAGTTATGTTTTACATTTATTTCACTTTTAATAATTTGTATTTTGATTGAAAAATATAGATTGAAATATAATTAACAAACAAAGTTTTATCAACCGTTTTCAAAATTCGTTATTCTACACACGGTAGATTTAACGACAGTTTTTTCAACCCACTCGAACAGCCTTTAAAGAACGTTTCAATTGGAAACTCTGAGGCGAAAACAAATTTGACCACCAAATATAAAGTCCAACTTTTTTATAATAATTATATTTTTTCTTGACGTGTTAGAATGGAAATGGATACCAATTCTTCGTGCATTATTTTAATAACGCACGTTTTTCGTTCAAATGCTTTGTAATTAATCACTCAGACCTATCGGCCTTCGTGATTATTTTACAACGCATTTGAACTCAACCCGTGCATTATTCTACAACAATGTACTCAGAATTGATATCTATTTTGAAGGTACATTTGTATATACAGTTGTATATATATATATATGTGTGCCCGAAATAAACAAGCATTAACAGTACATATACTCAAGTTTGATAGTAAGAAAGCGGTTATTGCAAGTCTGTCCCACGAATACATAAAAAAGTATGTACCAAAAAGCATGCACCCTTACTTAAATAAGATATATTTTCCGGGTTCCTGCAAACACATTCGTTCAATATGTATATGCATATGCATGTACAGAGACGGCCTGCACTATATTATATCACTTTCGTATATAATTGTATATTCCACCCTCAATTTCGATTAATTTCTGGTATGGATTCATTTTTTAAGCGCGTGAAAATATGGGTTGACTTTTCCAAAACCTGGCGTGCAAAAAATATGCCAGCTATTATACAAGAATGTAAGAACAAAATGTTTGTACCTATAATTATGTAAGTTTCGTGTATATATAGAAGCATATGTTCAAAAGGTTTTGCACCTTTCCCCGCTATTATTTGCCAGTTTGTCAAACTGAATGACAGATATATTTGTATTTATTGACAACGGTCTGTTTCTTAGAAAATGGCGATAACCAAATTAAGCGGCGATATTTAACGTAGACATTTAACGACCTTTATACTTGGTTACTGTCCGCCATTTGGCGATAAAAGACACCATTGGTTTTCGGTCCCACACGTCATTTTGGACATCATCAGGCCTTAAGCAGCAACCATGTATTGCCCCTAAGAAATCCGTTAAACCAAAAACAATGTGCGAAATAGTCATAATGTTCAGGAATGGTCGTCACTTTCATAAGCTTTACGAGTTATCAGCCCTGATAAGGAAGAGCCAATTTTGATTACTGATAAGATATTAAAGTTCCATAATGATGATTATTAAATAAAAGTTAGCAATGTTAATATAATATAATGATTATTATCAGTTTCAAGAAAGAGTATGTATAACAAAGAGTTTATACCAGCAATTACAAGTTAATAAGAGAAACGCAATGTCTATAGTACAATTCATTATCACATAAACTGCGAATATATATATATATATATATATATATATATATATATATATATATATATATATATATATATATATATATATATATATATATATATATATATATATATATATATATATATATATAGAAGATATTTGTTAAGTTCGTTTCCACTAAAAGTTCACATTTCACGATGCTCACTCTGTGAAATATAATTATCTCGGTCTTGCCATAATGTAAACAAATTTTCTTTTTGTTATATGCAAAGAAACGTTTGAAAAAGAAATTTTATTCTAATACTAAATGTAAAGCGCGCCAAATAATAATACAACATGACTGTCATGGCAGTTTGTTAGGATAATATATCACAAAAAAGACATGAGAGTTATATAAAGTACTACATGTACTAAGAGGATATTTTTTCGTTTGATTGAAATATGGAATATATTTTCACGAAACATGATAAAATGACACATATTTTCACGAGCCAGGACGGCGAGTAAAAATATGCGGCATTTTAACGAAAACTTAACTTTTTATTAATTTCATTATCAAAGAAATTGGTGAAACCCTTTGCTAGCTATGCAACTGCAATAGTAGCGCGCAGTAATATATTGTTTTGACTGATTTTGCACGCGCTGTTATGCGCTATTTTGTGACGTCACGTAAACAACTCTTTGAACGTATGTTCAGCGGTAATGACTGATTTAAAGACTGATATGTAGATAGTGGTGTTCGGATTTATTTTCTTAAAATATTTGAGTTTTGACACCGCCCACTTTCATATTGATATTTCATATTTATTTTTAACATATATGAAATATATTTGACTGATATATAGAGGATATTTTTTTTGTTCAGTGTAAGATTGGAATATATTTCACCTAGTGGCGCGCAGCCACGAGTGAAATATGAACTTTTGGTGTTCACTCGTTGAAATATATGTCGATCTTACACTAAACTTAACAAATTTTCTTTATATCATATGCAAAGAAACGTTTAAAAAGTCGTATCAACCTAATGCTAAACGAAAAGCGCGCCAAATAATAATACAACGAGACGTCATTTAAGATATCACGTCAGTATGCTTGTTTCCAGTACTGTGCAAGCTGGTATTCCACTGCAATAACGTAGCGGGCTTAAATTCAAAACAGTGAAATTATCAAATTGATAATTTTCACTGCTTCAAAACAGTGAATTATCGATTCTTTATTTTTACTGATATATTTCTATAAACTTTTAAAAAACATCTAATAAAGCACCATTTTTCATGGCAAAATTTAAAAAAAGGACATATTGTCATAGCAGCATTTTAGCCATATTTTACAAAACATGTAATTGCGTAATAAAATTTAGCAACTTACATAAAGACTTTAAGATATAAATTCATTACGCAGTTTAAATGCATAATATAAAATCATTGATAAGTTTCTTATTGTCTTTACACTTTTGTATGACAGTAATAAGTTAAACTTAGGAAAAATGTATTAATTCTGAGTGCATTGTTGTAAAAAATAATGCACGGTTTGAGCTCAAATGCGTAGTAATATAATCACGAAGGCCGATAGGCCTGAGTGATTAATTAAAAGCATTTGAACGAAAAACGTGCATTATTATACAATAATGCACGAAAAAATAATATCTATTTCCATTGTAACACGTCAAGAAAAAATATAATTATTATTATAAAGTTGGACTTTATGTTTGGTGGTTAAATTAGTTTTCGACTCAAAGTTTCCAATATAAAGGTTCTATAAAGGAAGTTCCAGTGGGTTGAAAGAAAAACTGTCGTTAAATAAAAAGGTTTTGAGAATAGCGAATTTAGAAAACGTTGATAAAATTTGTTTGTTTATTTTATTTCACTCCATAATTTTTCAAGCGAAAATACAAATTATTAAAAGTGAAATAAATGTAAAACTCGTTTGCGACATTAAAATAGCGTACTTGATTTGATTGTTGTGCACGTGCTGTTTGGTGCTACATTGTGACGTCACGTAAACAACACTTTAAACGTATGTACAACGTTAACGACTGACTTAAAGATATTGGTTTCGGATTTATTTTCTTAGTTAGACCATTTTCTTTCATCTAGAGAGATTTTTACAACAAAATTCGACAAAAATTGTTTTCATTTATCAGATTTTTCAAACAAAATGGCGCCCTCAATGTGAAAATACACAGGGAGATAATAAGAACGGCGAGTGCATTGTTTGTAGAATAATGCACGCTTCGGCCCTTCTTTGTTTATATAGAAAAAATTTCCGATAGTGTTAGAATTATGATTAGTTGGAGGTTACATATTTGTTATAAATTGTTGACGTAAATTTTCATATAAAGCGCGCTAATGTTAACATTACACTATAGGCGCGTCAATGAAAAATGACTCTTTTTAACAGATTACCTTTCTTATTTTATGTAATTTTGGCGGATACTCATTTCAAAAATAACTGGCAGAATTTCATATATAAATGGATTCATGTATTACTCTGTTAACTCTTAAACTCTTGGAATTTGTCGATATGAAAATGTTTTATTTTTGGTTAACGGCGTACTGGTCAACACAGTTTAGGTCATATTGCGTCAAAACAGAAAGGGATAATTTTGGTTAACCTCGGTTGTTCCAATCTTTAATGCAATGACAATGGTAAAACCACATCACCTTCTGAATAAAACAACTCCAGTAATTCGAAATCATTTAGTCGCCCACTGTACCTGAATCTCAGTGTAGACCAATTGCTATAACAAGAAGATTTATTATTCTGCCAAAACTCGAATTTTTATCAAAGGTGATGACTATATTATGTTTCATTCGTCTTACTAACCAAATAAATTTAAATTATTTCAATATGCTAAAAGGAGGAATCAAGATGTCGGATCAATTAAAGTTGTTTTGTCGTTTAAAAGAGGTTTAACTATTGCTGATATTTTTGTGTTCATTAGTCATATTTTACCAACAATCGGATAATTAGATATTTCTTAATTATAAATTTATTTCAGAGATAAACAGATCCTTTATGACAGGTGGAAATTTTTCAAATAAAAGGTATCAAATGATTATTTTTAGTCAAACTTTACATTTTCTTTTTTTTTCAAGTAATTTAAGAGAAATCAAACTTAAATATTTCTGATAGATAAGTTAACAGTCATTGTTGCACGCTTTTAAAATTCGTTTGTTTAATATGATACCTTTTGTACTATATTAACCACTATAAATTACTGATTGTAAAAATGTTTAATTACCCATGTCTTGATTCCCTGCATGCTGTACAAAAAAACGTGTCATGGTCAGGACAATAGAGAGTACATTGTGTATTTTGATGCTCGGCACAAGTCATAGTTCTGGTTACGTCAGTAAAATCTGAAGACAGTAGATTTACGCTTTCAAATATTTGAACATGTTTTTGTGTTTACAGAATAAAAAATATCAACGTATTAAGTTTTTCAATAATCCTTAGATATCTTAACAATATATAGCAAATATTTTTTAAATTGATTTTGATTTAGTCATTAAATACTTTTAATATGCACTGATTACAAAAATACAGAATACACTGTTTAATATAAAATGTGTCATATATCTTAATTATTCATATTTAACTTACACAGACGTTGTTTTACTTTCTCTATGCCATTTGACGAGCAATTGGCAATTATGTCATACGATTCAATGTTATATTGCACTTGTAGCCATCGTCTAAGGTCGAACAGTTTTTGTTGAAATTCGTTACTGATGATAGACTTAAGAAACTCTTCTATGGCCTTCGAACTGGGGCAGTGGATTTGTATGTCTGTTGACGATTGGTCAATGGTAGAAATATCAATGATACGGCATTTCTTTATGGTTTTGATGAAATCTACGAGGTGATAGATTGGTGTATCAGTTGATTTTTTATCAAAAGGCGAACCAGTCATATCATCGTTATCTTTAATATAGTCTCTCATTACTTCATAAACTCGTTGATTCCCTTCGACAATTTTTCCACCATTTTTAGCAATGACATTTATCTGAAGATCAAGCAAGAAGTGCTCTGAAAAAGAAAAACATAAAAGAGAATTAATTCACGCTTTAACGTGGATCAATCTACGCAGATATAATGCAGGCACGCATTGTGTATAAGCTTAAATAAGTTACATTTGCGTTTCGTTATTTTTTCCCATATAACTGTAACACAGGTTTTGTCATGCCTTCCCTATTTCCGTTATACATGGCGCCCTGCGTTATGCATATTAAAAACAAGGTGCATGCTTGCGTAATTTTATCTGTAAAAGCATGTTTCCGTCTTCGTTAATATACACCTATGTGCGCAGTTATTATGCAAGAACAACATGGAAAATTAAGAGAAATAATTCTTTGACTATGAATTATTGATATATTTCAAGTATAGATAGCTCAACTCGTTTTAGTTACATTCTCGTATTAGTCCTTAAACAAATGAAGGTATATGAAATAATATTATGTTTTTAATTTGTTTTCCTTTGTCTTCTTTTCAATGTTAACAAATCTTTAATTCATACCAAATGAAAGTGTTGAATTCAAAGGTTTTTAAGTATTTATTTTTCATTAAGTACCTTTAAGATTCTTTTGTTTTCCCGCAGATCTAAGATTAAGCATAAGCCGAAGCTCATTTTCTTTATCTGTAAATAAAAACACAACTCGATCAATAATAGAAATTTATGTAAATAATATTCTAAAATGCTAAACAAAGTATATGCATATCCTATTTTTAACTATTTCGGCGTGTATATGAATGGGAAGAATACATCTTTAGACCAAACATTTTGCAAGATTATTTCGACCGACCAATACTTGTGTTTTTCAAATTTAAAACAACAACAACAACAACAACAACATTGTTTCTGCTTATAGCTACAAGCCATTTAAAAGACAAAGTCTGCAAACTCGGGAATGTTTTCTATTACAGATGCAATTACTATAATTATTTCTTGATGATTATTTTACAAGCAATATTATTTTTTTAGAACATTGTTCTTTTGATTGATTATTTTTATAGAAATAAAGACGTTTTTTTTAAAGAAAATGTTTCTTGCATGACCTCCTTTATATCAACTTATTAACTGTCCTCTTAAACACATTTCCAAATATAAAAGGTAAAGGTCTTGTTTATTATAGTTAACCACTAGGCCAACGGTACCGGTACTATTCAAACATCATTTTCATTTCAAAATCTGATTCTCTTTGTAGCTTCTATTTTTTTAATTCTTCTTCTCTTTGTAGCTATTTATATATTTTGTACGAGTAATCAGTATAACATATGTTAAAAACCTTATGTCAATTAAGCAAAATGTTACTGCCTTGTCAAATCCAACCATTCTATCATTAAAAGGAACCAATTTATGAATTAGTTGAATTTAAAAGAAAGATTGTCATTCTTTTCAAACGTACACAGGATTTTTTAACTACACTGTAATATGTTTCTCGAAACACGTACTTTTAGATTCAAAATATGGTCTAATGACCTGGTAGAATTTTTGCAGAAGGATTAGCTCTTGCTTGTTCAAATTAATAGTCAAGGACAAACCTTTTATTTGTTGCTCTATCAGTTGAAGCTTCAGTTCACGCTGAAAAAAAGGTTTAAAATGTTGCATTATATATATATTTCGAACCATGCGCTTATTGTGTATAAACACGACAAAGAAAGAACTAAATTATAATTATATTTATTTTGGAAATATTCATTTAATTCCTTATTTTCTTAGGCCCAATATAATACTTACGAACACTGGCAATGTTCGGATACCACCGTCTTAATACTACCTTTGTTTACTTTAGATAGAAGTCAGAAGGTAAGAACAATTAATGTCCACAAAGTATATTTACATCATAACACTTTTATGTCATTTACATTGTAACTTTTCCATTACTCTTGAATGTATTGTTCGCCTCAGTGTTTTCTTTAAGCTAAAAATAATCTAAACGAGGCTATATATTCAAGCGAGCATGGCTTTTAACAGAGAGACATGAAAAATGACAGGTTAAATACACAAGTTTTAACATGATTTTCTCGGTAATAATACGTATACAATAAATAGAGTAGCAACTTAAGAATCGCAGTATTTTTCAAAGACATTTTGAATCAATTATAAATTTCATTAGACTTGAAAATCAATATTTCCTTACTTTATAGAACGTACGCAGTAAAAGCATGTCATAACAAAATTCAAAAGCATTAGCTATAAATATAAAACTTGCCTGTTTTTCTGCTGTCTTGTATTTCTCTTCTAATCTAAACATTCCATGCTCTCTCAATTCTCTCACGTCACGTTCAAGGTTCATCTCAATTTGATTTTGTTGCACCTGTAAAAGAAATTATGATAGGACTCCGGTCTGTAAACTCATTTGAACAATTTTCATTTCAATACAAAAATAATTGAAAACACATTTGGCACATTTTTTATAAGAATGGAAGGGATCCATCCCCACTTGAAAGTAAATGAAGTAATACATGGATAGGTATAAATGAACTTAAGATTTATCTAGTTTTAATTTATTGCCGCTGCAGTATCTGCAAGGCTTTGGAATATAGCGGTTCACCTCTGTGTGTGTGTGCGCGTGCTCGTGTGCATGTGTGTGCGTGCGTGCGTGTATGTGTGTTTTGGTGCGTGTGCGTGTGCGTTGTTCCTATATAGTGAACTTGTGAAAAACCACTGGTCCAATTTCAACCAAACTTGGCAGCATTCTTTCTTGAATAAAAGGCTTCCGAATTATAGCCTTGGGTCAAAATATGCCGCGCCCAGAGTCATTGATTTTAATTATGTAAAAACAGAAACTAAAAACTAAACTAAAACTAAAAGAAATTTTTTTTGGAAAGGAGAAACTACTGCTTAGATATTTGACATGAACATAATCTGTTGGACCTATATAAAGATTGTTTGGACAAGATTTTGCAACAGAGTTACCAACGACCCCGCCAAAGGGAATTTTACATAAAACACAAAATTGTGCTTTTCAAATTGTGTGTTTTATATAAAATTCCTTTTGGCAGGGACGTTGGTAACTATGTAACAAAAATTCTTGTTCAAACATTACACATTGTTTTATTATCGTGATCATTTGTGCCATAATAATTTCAAATTCCCTTGATATATAAAGAAGTTCTCGGTCGGACAAAAAATATACCCTGTAACAGACTATGTTAATATTTGACCTCCAGCTGTGTCATTGACCTTTGGTGTATGCGTAGGCGACTGATTTTATTGTCTCATTATTGTTATCATTTGTGCCAAATACTTTCAAATTCCTTCATTGATAAAAAACATGGACAGAGCACAACATATACCCTCGAAAATACAACGTTGGTCTTTAATCTACAAGTGTGACCTTGGCCTTGGAGGAAGGGGTCCGGTTGTTGTGCATGACTTATTGTCTTATTATAACAAACATTTGCGCCAAGTAATTTCAAATTCCTTTGGTAAATGACACAGTAATGGACTGGACACGAAAATGTGAAGGGCGGACTGATGGACGGACGGAGTATATTTCTATATCCCTCTTTTTTCTTCAAAAGGCGGGGGACAATTTAACATTTGTGTCTTGCCTTGCCCAAGGAGACAGCGACCTTCTTTTTCGTCCGTTGATGTATAGCCATAAAATTTGGACCATGTGCACACTTTGAGATGTTAAATTGAATTTTAATATATTGCATGCAGCTGACCTAAATTTAAATTTTGACAAGTTAAATTCTTTTTGTCCTTTGATGACAGGTATAAAATTTGGACCATGTAAACAGTTTTAGATGTAAAATTGAACTTTGATATCAAAACATGGAAACAGAAAAAGTCTTCTGTTCATGCACTATTATCAAGAGGTATATTAATACGGTGACATGGCATTTTTCACAAATGCAATCTTGTTTTACAACAAACTGTCGAACTATTTACAAGTAATAAGCTTTATTGAACACTTTTTATCCTGTATTGTTGCAATCTTGATAATATTCAAATAATTTTCTGTGTATATGTGTGAAAAGCCAAAAAGTAACGAGCTCACGTTTGCAGAGTGATTCATTATAATGTTAGAGCAGACAAAGATAGTGTACTTACTATTATAATCAATAATGTATTTACTATTATAGTCAATAATGTAAATTCTACTTTAGACAATAATGTACTTATTAACATAGGCAAAAAAATGTTTTAACACTTATGCAAAAGGACATGAACGTACTATTTTATATCATACATCTGTTACAAAATAACAAGTTGTAAACATTAAGAATTTGCAACAATAATAATGTATAATGTGCAACAAATATTCTTAATTAGATTAATATATTCTTAATTTAAAGAGAAATACGATTTAATCCACTAATTCTTTTTATAAAAACCACTAAAATGTATCTTAAATCGGCTTATCTTGTTTTAATAATTATTACATTACTCTTATAGGTTGAATTACCATATCTAGTAAAGGTAATCGCGTGCAACACCTTGTTTCCCTTTTAGGGGTGTATTGCCATGTTTGTTTTTGATTTCTAGTACTTCCTTAAACGTTATACTATATAATTTCAATAGGAGTATTACCATATCTAGCAATCGTAATGCTTCTTCTACGCCTGGCTCCCCTTTCAAAGGTGTATTACCATGTTTGTCCTTGATTTCTAGTACTTCTTTGAACATTCTGATAAACGTATTTAGTTGATTTTTAGATAGTTCATAGTTTGGACTGTGAAGAATATCATTCCTTGTTTCCCTTGCCTGTAAAAGTAACATTTCAGTATCTTAAGTCTCCTTGTGTATTTGTTGCTAAAATACTTCATTCATAAATTAATCAATTGTAACACCAATTCGAAAAGACTGTTCTAGACTTGCATAATAAAGGCTTATACAAACATGTATATAAAATGTTTAATTGAAACTACATACAACAATAAGTGATTACTGTGGCCA